GGGAAGGCTCGTTGTTTGAACCAGGCCTGTTCTAGCTTGTCGAGGGCTTTGTCGACATTCTAAGAGAAATTAGCGGCGTTCATGATTTCTCATGGCGATGAGAGGCATACCTTAAATCCAAACCGTTGGAGATCAAGCATGGTTTGTCGCACCCATTTCTGTTCTCGTTCATCTCGCGTTTCACGCCCCGCCGTAAACAGAGGCCAGAGCACCGCCAGCTGTCCGACATCCTTGGCAAGCTTGCCGATTAGACTTAGAACACGAGTTGCGAGCATGTCCATCACGGCTCTCGGAGGCTGCCGGTCGGGCCGCTCAGCCGCCGCCACCTTGTGTAGGTAGAGGTTGGTCGCCTTTTCATACGCCTCGATGCATCCAGTATATTCCAGAATTTCCGGGAAAGCATATTGCCGCAAGCTTTCGTCATCTAAGTCGCCAAGTTGCTGAAAGCACTGGGGGGCGTTGAGTCGCCACTCGGCTAGTCGGATGAACAAATCACGAGAAACCAAGTCTTGTTGCTCGTATGACATCCACCCTTGTGATTTTGCCTTTCCGAATGAACTGATGGCAGCCTGGATTTCCATCATTACAGACCAGCATGATCGAAGTTCCACGAGTAGAGAGTGTTCGGCAGGCGTCTCGGTCGAGAGGCTCGGAGTCCCCAGGTTGTACTCCCAACCACCGCCATGCGTTCGCCAGTAGCTCCCTTCGACCACCGTCCCTTCCGAGGTGGCACATGCGCCGGCAACGTCGAGATAGGATAAGAGAGAAACGAGGAATTGCCGTAGCGGATGGTTTGTTTCGGCGAGGCGTTGCGCTTCCTTGGCGGGATCGCTATTTGGAATGAACAGAAGGCGATAGATTTCGCGGGCCCCCTTGAGATGAACGGCCCAATTGTGATGTTGCGAGTCCATCATCTGGGTGGGATTAGATATTTTGTATGGTCAGTTAGACTGGAAACTCGACTTACCTCGAAAAGACCCAACAATAAGCAGGTGGCGAAGTCGGTTAATTGCAGGTGCGGTCCCGCTTGGTTGTACCTGGTCCTGAAAGATTTGACCACTTCTCCATACTTCCCCATGGCGTGTTGGAAATGTGTAATCCGCTGTTGCCCTCGCGAGGTATTTGCAAGATGCAATGCACCCAACGCCTGCATCGCACTGGCCATGGATGGAGATGATCGAGCAAGTTCGGGGAAATATCGACGGAAAGGATTGATGTTGATGGAGTTGTCGTAGATGAGAAGTAACGTTGCCACTCGGTCAATGAAATGAGCATAATAGCGGCCTTCTAGATCTAACGAAGCAGTCATGAACTCGGCCGGGGATACCGGGTCCTGGAAGCGATACTTGATGGGTTTCGTGTCGGAGACCGTGGTGGGCGACACCACCACCGCATCGAAGGAATCCTCATCTTCGTCATTCTCCTTTTTGATCACTTTGCCGTCGACTGCAAAGGTGGTCATCACACCAGCAGCCGGCTTCTTCTCACGCTTCTTAGACCCGGGAGATGACGATGAAGAAGACGAGGAGGGCGGCGATTCTTGGGGTTGCGGAGGACCGTAGACCTTGAACGTCATCCGACCTTGGGTGCCGTCGCATTCGAGACCTAGACGCGAGCAATTCTTGCAGCATGGCGATGCCTCGTCACAGCGAACATGACGGCGACGACAGGTGGAGCAGCCGGTGAAGCCTCGGTGATGCCATCTGCGCACTCTCTTCCGTTTCTCAGGCGCTGCGGCGGGCGCAGGCTGAGGTTGCGGTTGAGGCGTGGACGAGGGCTGCTTCACCGGGGCACAAACCAGCGTATGAACCTCCATGGCGAGCAGAAGAGGCGAGTGGAAATGAGAGGCGAATGTGGGGTCGAGACATGAAGTTATCGGTCGTGTATGAGGAGGTAAATCCGCCGAGGGAGGGAGAGTCGCGGATTATAAGTGGGCAGCGAGGAAAATCCCAGGATAAAGCAGCGGAATCGAGAAGCAGGAGATCCGATCCGACGATTGACGGACACACAGGCCGGGAGAGAGAAGTCACGAAGGGACGAAGGATGCGAAGAAGAACAAGACAAGTCCCAACGGGGAGGAACCGAAAGAAGGGGAAGCGAATCACTGGACCCGGTGGGGCTCTGCCTGCCTTTCCACGCCGAAGGTTCGCCTCGTCCACTCGTCCATCTCTGCAGATCATCCTTTGCTCTTCCCGTTTCCTCCCTCTCATCCTCATCCTTAACCATTTTTATTCAATATTCAAACCTTCGACCATCAACATCCCCTGATCGATGCATGTCGCCCGGCGCGTGTCTACGGCACGCTGGAATCATCCAGATGCTGATCGACCCTAGTGGTTGATCATACTGTTCCCAGCAGCCGCGCAAAGACTTCAACTAATTGGCTTAGTTGCAGATTTAACCTTTTTTCTCCCTCCCATATGCACGGGGAAAAAAATACCTCATCTTTGATCCCTGCCAATGGACAATCCTCCTAAGTCCCTAAACACTGGGTTTGCCGGTTGGCCTCTGACTTTACACGAAGAAAATCACTAGCCGACCACTTCCTCTGCGCGGTTCCCCACACGATCCACCGCTGCGATTTCCTACCGGTGGAGTGATGTCGCTGGTGCCTTCGTGATTCGCCGATCCCATGAACTAGAGGCTAGGATCCTCCTGGGCCTTTCGAGCGATGAAATTGACAAGTGGAGGGGAGAGGGGGGGAAATGAGAAACTAGAGATGCACCGCGGAGAGAAATGATGGCCTCGAAGGATTCACGCCGACAGCTCACTAAATGCTCGCTATCTTGGCCCGCCAAGCACGAGCGAGACGCTGTCGATGTTTGTCTCTGTTGCGCTTTACTCGATGCAGTTGTCCCCTTGTGTCCTCTGATTCGAGCAAGCTGGTGCAATCCCGGTCCAAATTCCAGGGTCTTTTCATTTTCCTTTGTTCCTTCGATTGTTGCCCGCGTGGCATTCCTCCTGATGAATGGTTGAACTAGGGGGTGGAATATAATTCCATTCCTTTTAGTCAAAACTTTTTCTTTTTTTTTTTTCTTTTTTTTCGGTCTTACCGCCCCATGCATACAACGAAAAATCATGAACTGGAAAAGCAGGGGGAAAGCGGCTTGGTTTCAAAGATCAACGGTCTTTGCTCCAGTTCACCATTCCCTTTTCCCTCGTGAATTGTGGGCGGATGGATCCCGTCCCGGTGCGCCACGCTCCCAATGTGCCAATTTGCCAAATCTTCACAAGTGAGCAAAGACGGACTTGGCGAAGGTCCGACTCCGAGCGAACCTGCGAGATGGGATTTTCTTCTTGTGTCTTGGGGGCTTTTTTATTTTTATTTTTATTTATTTTAAATAGCATCCCTGGAATCCTGCTGGTCCGCTAAAGGAGAGGGGGGGGATAGCCTCCTTCGCATGGATTGGGTCGAGGGATTCGAGAAACTTTGCTCAATAATACGTTGCTCACCGGAAATCCACGGATTGATGGAGACCCTGTTCCACGGTAGTTTAGTCTTCAACTTCGCCTGACTTCGCCGGTTGAACAACTTTAATGAGGTCACTCGGTCTTGGCTCGCCGTCAAACCAGAGACTCACTTCTTTAATCAGCGTTGAGTTCGTTAGTCTGCGCTCTTCGACCCGCTCGTTGGTCACCATTATTGTCCAGAAGGCTATATGCCGGGACAATTCCCACGGAACGGTTGAGTCGATCGCCCATACAAGAGCCGGCGAGGCTTAGCTGATTACGCAGGATGGCCACCGTCTTACTTTGCTTCATTCGGATGCATCTTTGACTACGGGGTTGAGAATGCACAGTCAAAGAGTATGCAGGGCTGACGACGACCTGGTGACAATCGCCTCTAATTTGAGGAACTTGGCCTGGTCTGGCCAGGCCGGGCCAAGTCATGGCTCGATGAGATGCATTTTCACATGCAGGTCAAAGCCAGCAAGCAAACAAACGGCCTGTCAATTGCACCGACCGAACCCTGTGCCTCTTGACCGTCAGCCCGCTGTCACTGTCAGTGTCACTAGACTCGCCTAGGAGATTCCAGATGGAGAGGTCGACAATCTCAGAAGCACGCCGGTTTTAGCGGCTCGTTTCTTAATTAATGCCTTCCAGGATCTCGTGTTACCGCTTACCAGTCAGTGCAGCACTACTGATGAGCTAGATCTCCTAGTCCTTCCATCAGCATCAGGTCCAGGACCAAGTGATCGCCCAAGTATGATTGATCTGATAGTCGAAGGATCCAGGAAGCGCTGAACTTCCGGTCGGTCCCCCTTGTCCAGAACCCACAATTCATTAGGATCACTTCTTAGTTCTTATTACTGCAAGACAAACCCTATCGCAGGGAGCCACACGGAAGCCCGCCCTCGAGCCCATAAAACTCAAAGTAAATGAAAGGCCAGCCGCTCGCCAATCATAAGAAAGGGGATGGGTGACATGTCCCCGGTTTCATCTCTGATGCTCATTGCCTGTCTAGGTTAATATTGGCGCCTCGTTTGGCCTACGGTCAGATCTTGTCTTGCCTTTTGGTCTGTCGAGCTTGGCTAATGTTCCTCGGCAAAAGATGCTGACCGCTAGGCAAGAGGAGTGATGTTCTGAGGATCGTTTTTTCTTCAATTCCCGAGTACTAGAATATGTCAGTATCAACCTCAAATGCTCGAGAACTTAGAGGACGGATAAGAGACTCTCCACATTCCACATTCCACATTTCCACTTCCATAGGCCCCACTTCGTTCTTCTCCCACATCGGGTCCATCATTATTCACTACTAGCTAGCAGAGTAGTTTCTGAATTCTGGTTGACCACGCGACCAAGAAGATTTCTTCCTTAACAGACCCCTTAACTCAATTCTACGAAATAGTCTACGGTGTAGCCAACCCCTGAACCACGAGTCAAGCGTAATCAAGAAGTCTAAAAAATCAAACTAAACCAAACAAAAGAGCCACGGTTCCCTAGGCAGCCAAGACCAGATGAAAAAACCAAGAAGTCCACTTCCCTTAACTTTTGAACTCTTATGTCCAAGCCCTTTCATCGCCACCATAACCGGTCTTCTGCAACGCCATCCTGGTACAGGCATTCCGCCCATCCGCGCCGTTCTTGATCACGCCCGTCGTTCCATTCGTATACTCGAGCCAAACGATCCAGGCGGTGGAGTCGGAATCTAATTCCTTGTCCGTATCATCTCCGCTGGTGCACGACCATAAGGTTAAAAAGGGGTTCAGGAACTCGCTTCCCTGATTCTCACCCCCTGAGGGTGGAGACGGGGACCGGCCTGCGAACTTCAACTCAGTCACAGAGCCGGAGGGAATGGAGGCGCTGTGCGGGATCGTGTAGGTTATTTTTCTCTTGAAGAGATGTAAACTATACAATGTGGTTAGTATGTTTCGGTTGGTTTTGGGTTTGCGAGTTTAATTAGACAGTAGACATTAGACAATAAACTCCTACTCCGCACGGAGAAGGAGAAGGGAAGGACAGTGAGGCAAAGGAAAGGGGGATCTGTTTTGAGATATCAAATGAACAAAGTTAAATAGATAAGAAACCAAACCAAATGATCCTCCTGGCCACCGGCACGGGAGTATTCAGAAACATTCCAATCCTGCGCTACGAACTGTCGTGTTCACGGGTGAAAAACAAGCCGGGGGATCCTCGGGGCAATGTTAAGACGAGGTGGCTTTTCCGGTCCAGAAAGATCCGGCGTTGAGCTTGAGTTGAGAGAACCAGCGGATGTTCAGGGTGAATAATAATGGGGATGATGATCCAGGATTCCAGGAACGGGAGTGGGATTGGAGCTAGCGGGAGATGAAGAGATTGGGGATGGAGATTGAGCTTGGTTGTCCGACGGAGTGGAGGAGATGAGAGCGAGTACACAGCATGGATAGGAGGGCGAAGAGGTTCATTTTCAGTAACTATGTCGGCTCTATTGGTGTGTATTTGGGTGGGAGAGCAGAGGACCAGATAATGCGCAGTGAACGAGATCTCTCCATATCTACGGAGAGATCTCTCAATTGATCATGATATGATATGATCATGACAACCGAACCGCCTGAAGATCCCCATTCCCCAGCCGGCGATAGTCGATACCGAGGCTTGTGGGGTCCACTTGCACTGAGGACTGAGACACATGAGGTCATCGTGTCGGAGCCGATGCTAAGCCTAGTAGTCTAAGGGTGTAGCCGGTGCAGATTTTCTCGCGTGGCCAGTGGGTTTGACCAGGGTTGGGAATCCGGTTTTCCTCTTCTTGATACGGAGCCATCGGTAGTTGTGTCGAAAATCGAAATAAACATTAAAGCATGGGGGGTGGAGTTTGTAAGGCCTGCAAACTGCAAATATGTGGAGAGCTCCTCCCGTAGCGTTAGACTTGGGCGTAGCACACCTTGAGGAATGAGGCTTTGGTGCCTGAAGCTGGTGAATTGTGAAATCATGGATGGCTCAGCGACCAGCCTGATTAATCCGCCAGTACCAGATGTCCGAGGCAATCGGAGTATAATCCCTTTTATTCGACCCGTCCGCCTATGGCCAATGTTCTAAATTTGGCCCCCAAATTAGATTAATCATTACTCATCGGACGTGACCGTTGAGACCTGTGGAGATGTCCTGCCGTCTGCAAATTGATCAGCCACGGATTTTTGATTAATCTGGCGATTTTAGAATTCAACAGGCTCTCACCCGGCCCAGAGGCAATCTATTCATGACTCCTGCGAATTTGGATCCCTCTTCGATTTTTTAACGCCTCGCTTCTAAGATTTGGCACTAGCTAGTCAGGAGTCCGTAGTCGCGCTGAGCGCCGGAGCCGATAGAAGTTTTTGTGGGGGCGACTGAAAGACACCGCTATTTGCGCCTATTTGCATCGCGAGTATATCGGCCGGTTGCGCTGTTTATCGTGGTGATGAGACTTTTGCTCGGTCGGAATGTTCAGAGAATCAGGGTGGAAAACTGTTTTGTAGAGAAAGATTCGCGGGTGGAGAAGAAATGAAATAAGCGCGTCTGCCTCAGTCCGCTGGCAGCGATTCAGGCATACATATCTTGTCGGAGTTGAACCATCTCTCAGTATTTGAATAAGATCTGCCAACCTGCTTAAAGCCTGTATCAAGTGGAAGTTAGGTAGGATACTGAGACGTCCATTTCTTCGAGAGCTACCTGCGAGATCTTAAATCGCATGAAGACGCAGGCATATACGCCCCTCCATTTCTACTCGGTCGTATTCTAGCTACTGATGTTCAATGAATACACGATCCCACCCTGATAATATCACCAGTCACGTCTTATCTGCCCATGGGGTCTCCAGGGCGAGCCTCCTCCCCAGATAGGCTAGAACTATGCTGCGCCGCGCCTGTGATTTCCCGGTCCCTGGTCGATTCCGTCAGGACAGAGCTTTCCGGTCTCATAGGGGAATCTCGTGCTATCTGGGCCTTCTCTTCGTCCGTTGCGCCGGTAATATTCACGGCAACCTCCTCGCCAAATCGTTTTGCAATCTCCTCCAGGGTCAACTGAGCTGTCTCCGGGAAGAAGAAGTAGATCACTTCGGGAAATGTCAGAGGTGGTTCGGAATATGTAAGCACTTTTGTTCTCACCAGGTATAAAAACTGCTGACCAGCAGATGACGAGCAAGTAGAACTTCCACCCCGCATTGTTGAACCCCATCGGGGCCACTTGCAGCAGAATGATAGTGGCTTTTTCGTTAGCTAGTTACATTGAGACACAAAGCATATGTAGACTCACCAGCGAACTGCCCAAAAAGCGAGAAACCCATCCCAATGGGACGAATCTCAGTGGGGAAGATCTCGGAAACGTAGAGATACATGGTAGTGTCGCAGCAGGTGCTGTGTATTGTCGAGTCAGTGGGTATATAAGGATCCCAGATTTGTCCGTAGCTTACCCTTGGAAGGCCAAATAAAGAAATATGAAGAAAACCCCGAATCCGTTGCCGACTTTGTTTGAAGTGCCGCCATACTCGGCAGTCATAGCGGCCAAACCCGATGTGGAAACGACAATTCCAACGAAGCCAGTGATATACATGCCTCGACGGGAATTGACCTTGTCATGCAGCCAAGAACCGAGCGGATTGTAGATGACACCTGTGGTTAGGATCAGTAACGTATGTCGGAATGGGATCACCAAGAAATCGGGTACCGGCAGTTGTCAGCCAAAGGGCACTTAGAAGCAGTGGCATGCTTCCCGTCATCCCAAGACTGGTGTACAAGATTACAGCATAGTTATTCTAAATAAAGTGTAAGCTGTGAAGGTGAATTCGTTGGGCTTGTGGAAAACTCACAATAATCAATGGACCGCCAAACTCCGCTCCCCATTGAGTGAGGAAGCCAATGATCATCCGCTTTCTATACGATTTCTTCTTCAGGACTGCCTTCCACACGTTACCAAACCCAGCAAGCTTCCTCGCTTCAAGATTAATTTGTTCCGTAGTCTGAACAAATTCATTCTTAGCGACCAGATTATTGGGATCGTCTGGTGACTGGCGAAGCTTTTCCAGGACACTTCTGGCTTCTTCATACTTGCCCTTCGAGATCAACCAACGGGGGGACCGAGGCAGCCACGGCGATCCGAGAAGCAACACCAAAGGAGGAAAACACTGGAGGCACAACGGAAATCTCCAGGCAAAGCTTCCCAGTTTCTCATCAGCAAAATAACATGCATAGCCCACCCACGCCGCCATCATGTACCCGAATACCAAAAAGATAGCATGATGACCAACGAGCCAACCTCTGCGGCTGGCACTCGACATTTCCGAGAGATACATGGGGCAAACAGTTACTAGGATTCCGATCCCTAGACCGCAGACAAACCGCCCAGCTTGGAACATTCTGCATTGTAGTTAGATAGCCTGCTTTCCAAGTTGGTAAATCTAAAGGGAAAGAGTATACTCAAGAGAGTTGGCGCCCCCTTGCAGGGCGCCTCCAAACAATGAGAAGAAAGCGCCCAGCTGGATGTTGGCCTTCCTGCCGAAAAACTCGCAGGACCACATGATAAACAACGTGCCGACAGCCCCCCCAGCACTGAAGACCCCGTTGGCCGTCGAGACGACTGGGGTCGTGGTCGAAGCATAACCTGGCTCACCTTCTGCCGGCAGGTTGAAGTAGTAGTACCATCCCGGCTGGCCGATCGTGCTCGAAATGATTGAAGCGCAATAACCATATGTCTGTGCAAGGACCAAACAGCGTTAGATTGCAAGCCTCGCGCATCATCAAGAGAAGGTTTAAAACACTGACCAAAGATCCAATGGCAACAAAGATTGTCACCAGCTTGTTGTAGGTACTAGTCTGTGTCCCAGGCTTTCCCATACTGGTGATTGCTATCGCGTGCAGGATGCAGGAAGCTCCAATTGGGGGGATAGGAATTTGGCAGTATAGCAGAAAAAGAAAGGAAAGCCAGATCTAGTCGACTCACCCTGTACGTTCCGCCACGCACGCGTCAGGCCCAAAAACCCAACTTTATATCTTGGGAATGAGGCGTATGGCTTCGGCCACCGAGGTTCAAAGAAAAGAGAAAGTCCGCGCATGAAGGAAGGTCGCTAGAATTTCCATACGAATCCACGTTCGTGTAGCCCTGCGAACCCCGGTCGATATTAGATAATCTGTGCTTATATAACTGTACATACAAGAGCGGTAAAGAAAGCCCCTGACCGATTGATTGATTTATTCTCTGTATTTATTGATGAAACTCTCCGTTGTGGAGTTCACTTAGGGTCAAGCACCGTAGTCACCCCAGTACGTCAGCTCCGGGGATGCCGTAAGATATGTGTCTCGCTTCTAGACTCTGACTGTCTTTCTCAGCTCTGGGAGGAACCCTAGTCTCATCTGCACGAAGCCGAGTCGAGGCGATAGTATGTGGTAACCGGCGCGAGTCATGGCGAGAAAATGGACCGCGGAATCATCCAACACGGGAGAGCGACAAGTTAGCGCGAACGTCGCACGGAAAACCACATAAAGTCAAAAGGGATTCTGCGTATGCGGTAGGAATATGTGATCGTCATTATTAGTTCAATGGCGTCCGTGCTCGGGTGTTTGTCCCAACCCGGTGCTTACTGCCAATGTCCGCTAACTATGCCCCTGCTATTTTAGGGTTTCTATTTGCCCATCCTATGAACTGGCATCGTGGGCGTGCGGAGAGGTCTTTGGGACTGAACTTTAATGCTGATAGTCGCCAAATGGTCACATATTCCCCGCCTCTCATGCTCGAGATGATAAGACCGATGGCGATGATCTTACGAGCTGAACATTTTCACGAGTTGGTGGCCGATTTAAAGGGGAACCGGCCAGCGTTGAAATGTGTAATCCAAGCAGAAACCCTCTTTGTGCTGTATGCTCAATGATTGAACCTGATTCCGTCCCATCTTCCAAATAGCGTCCACGATCACCGAAGCATGACCAGAATGTCGCCCTTCGATGTTCCCTTTGACGAGCTTCCCAACCCCAAACAGGTGTGGGTTGGAGAGCCTGGCAGCTATGAAGAAGGGCTTGGGAAGCTAGCTATCCTGACACCCGAGGTCGTGGCGAGGGCTGCCGCAAGCGAAATTAGAACCGGTCGACGAGTGACTATGGGCTGGGATTTGACCAAATTGGATTTCCCAAATTTGGGTCGCCAACCATGTCGGCACAAGATCGTTCCACTTCTAGGCGGAATAGCCTTTGATGACATCTATACTATGAATCCACGTAAGATGTCGAATCCGGTCCGCGTGTTCATGACTCAGTTGTATACGTCCTAATAGTTTCTTAGAACAAAGTAGTCAATGGGACGGCCTTCGCCACTTTTCGCAGACGGTTCCTGGTCAGACCCAACGTGTTTTCTATGGAGGCACGACGGCTGACGAGATCAATGACCGGGGAAACGATCGTATAGGCCTGCAGCATTGGGCGCGGGAAGGAATCGCAGGTATTTTCTCACATATCTCATCTGTCGAAAGTCCCACCTGACTCGATAAACAGGGCGTGGAGTGTTGATAGACTACACAACGTGGGCGGAGAAAAAAGGAATGGAGTACAGCACGTTTTCGACGCATCAGGTCCGACTCTCCGATATCCTGGAAATCGCCGAGGAATCAGGCATCATCTTTCAAAAAGGTGACATCCTCTTTGTTCGTGTCGGTGTGACCAAGGAGTGGGATACCGTGATGACGGACCAGCACAAGCAAAAGTACTCGGAGGATCCCAGTCCCGAGCATGCAGGGGTAGAAGCTACCACAGACGTGCTGCGATGGCTCTGGGATTCCGGGTTTGCGGCAATCGCTAGTGACACCATCAGCTGGGAGGTACGAAGAACACTGGGCTTCTTCCTTGCTAAAGAGCTAAACAACATATGACAGGTCTACCCCCCGCAGTCGGATATATTTCTACACGAATATGTACTTGCTGGATGGGGAATGCCAATAGGTGAGTCAATCCAACTATGTTGTTGCGCCGTATAGCTAAATGTCACTAATATTCCCTATAATAATAGGTGAGCTATTTGATTTAGAAGCACTGGCTCGCCTGTGTCAAGAAGTCCAACGCTGGACTTTCTTCGTGACATCGGTGCCATTGAACATGTCGGGCGGAGTCTCTTCGCCGCCAAATGTCATGGCAATCTTCTGAGTAGTGGCAATGTAACAACCGGCGCCTTATACATAGATTGAAGACAATTTGCCTTTTTGTTTTGCTCGGTCCTCGTATTTTGAAAGAAACTTGGAAAAATGGTGCCGACAAAAGGAATTTCCGGCCGACCGGACTATGTTAGATTGCATGACTATCAGCTGCAAATTTGGTCCGCATCAATATTGTTGAACTGCTGTGAACTCGGAGTTTTTCGACGATCCTTGCTGTTGGTCCGACCTATAGAGACGTTTCCTGGACTCCGTGATGGGGCATGTAACCAGCCAACTCACAAGGACTGGCTAATGCAGCCTAGGTCTTCACTGACAGTCGACCTGGGAAGTACCACTGCAGATCTTGAAAGATCAGAGTATGTACGCCAATCTTTGCGTTATGCCCTGAAAGATTAGCTCGATAAACACAGCAGCCTTTGGCTCACTAACTCACCAATTCTAGACCCATACCGTAAAAAGGGGAAAGGAGCCGCGCATTTTCCATAAAGACCAGGAAGATGAATCGGAGCTAGTCAGTGCATAAGGGTCTCAATTTAGGCCCACGGGTCCCCGGCAAGTGGAATCCGCCCCCAGAAAGGTCGTTCTGATCAAAGTACGGAGTACTTCGTACGGCTCGATCAATCAAACAAGCCACAAGCCAGTAGTCCCCCTGTCCATCGCCTTTTCGCCTGTCCTCCCTGACAGGGGTTGACGATCTGGCCCATCCGTGCACCGACCCCGGCGGGATATAACGGCTCCCGGACAAAGAATTCGAGAGATCCTTACATTTTAGGCGCCAGCTAACTGGATACGGACAAGGACCAAGACGCTAAGAACTGCCTTGGGCTGGCACTGATCACAAACAGCATGAGGCAAGCGAGTGACCATACGGATAGAAACAGCCACATCGCATCGCTTCTCCAGCCTTCAGCTGGGCGGGAGGCCGCGCTTTGTTTGTGCCCATAATCTGCTTGGGACGCGCAGGGTTTGCAAGTAGATCAGCCATTTCTGCATGAAAATCCTCTCTCTATCGTCTCGATTCATTTTCCTTTTGCCTTTATTTCCTGGGTACTTTCTCTTTCGTCTCTTGGACTCTATTGAACAAGGATTGTAATCATGGATGCGCGAATTGGAACTACCGACTGTACTACACCTGAAATCCACCTGATTTGCCATGGATCTTCGAAGTGCACCAAATGGTCCCCGATGCAACGAGCAGGACAACCCGTCGAAATCTGAATCGAAGTCTGCTTGGTCGCCATGTCTTGCTCTCATCATAAACCCAGCCAGCCCTAACTACGGGGGAGCTTTCCCTGGGATGTTAATCCATCATGCCTTCACTTCGATCCTTAGAGAGCGATGCAGCTCATAACTCCAACATGGATAAATCGGTGCAGACGTGGAATACCGTAACGCAGTCACTATGTATTACCGCCATGACTATTTTCTTTGGACTACGTGCATACACCCGCCTATCGCTGCTGAACGGGTTTTGGAAAGAAGATTGTGTGTCTGTCCGGATACGAAGAGTGCTAAATGCTGACTGGTTTGATAGGGACTTGTCTTGGTGCTTATGTTCGTCGATCCTGAATTTGGATTTGTCCAAGCATTCGCTAACCAGTGCATTAACTACTGCAGTTTCTCGGGATCTGCTACTCGATCATTGCTCTCATCAGTACGCGATCCCCTCGCCTACCTAGACCGTGCTAATCCACGCGTAGTGGGCCATTATGGCGGAGGCCTTCACATTGACGATGTACCGATCGAGCATCTCATTCCATTTCGAAAGGTACATCCTCCAGCTCGACCACCATACAGAGCACTCACACCTGCAGACTGTCTACGTGACCATGGTCATGTACGGCCCGACCGCATATCTCACGAAAGTATCCCTCCTCTGGATTATGACCCGAGTATTCAAACCGTTTCGTGAATCCGTCATCGCCATCTACATCTTTCTTGGCGTCATGTTGGCCTACTACATCCCGGCCGTTATCGTCAAGATCCGTATCTGCGATCCCATCTCCAAATTCTGGTCACCGTCCACGCCGGGATCATGTCTCGACCAGAACTCCATCATCCTGGCCGACGCGGTTGTCAGCGTCGTCAGCGACATGATCATTCTTCTGCTACCTTTTCCACTAACGTTGCGTCTCCAGCTACCAATGAAGAAGAAGATACGCGTGATGGGCATCCTCGGCGCAGGGGGACTGGCCTGCGCGTTCAGTGTTATCCGACTGATTCTCATCGTGGTCACCGGGCAGTCAAAAGACGGAACGATCGCATTCATGCGAGTCAACATGTGCGGGTAAGTACATTTTTATCTCACCGGCTACCTACCTATAAGTGAGTAACTCAACCATAGCAACGCCGAAATTGCCATCGGCATCGTCTGCGCCTCTCTCCCCGCTCTCTCGGCTCTCATCACGCACGTCTACAACGAATACTCCACCAACGGCGCCACGCACACATCCGGCCAGGATGTCAGCAAAGGCAGAAATCCGAGCAATCGCGACAGTCGGACCGAGCAAGTCATGCCGCCTCTCCAGCTGATGGAGATGGACTGCGACCAGAACATTCTCATGCAACATGTTCAGGGACAGCCTCGGATCGAGACGGCGGTGCTTAGCGAGGGAGGTCACTTTCATGCTGAGGCGGGAGGGATCTTGAAGACGGTGGATGTGTCGACGTCTGTGAGTTCACGGGGTGGGTAGATTGAGGGATTGTATAATATTGTACTATACTCTGGGATTATATACCCGATTAATATGGAAACATTCTTTGGGGAGTCTAAGCATCTATCGCCCAACATAATACATAAGATCATGTTTACTTGACCTTTGAAATCGAATAAACCAGCTCGGCGCCCAAATAGCCATCCATTCACCCAGCTTTCAGCTACCCAACTATACATTCAATCCGAGTTATACCCAACACCAGAGAACCCCCAAAATAGATCGGAACTAAACCAAGTAAGCCGGAGTATATACGGAGTACTGTAGTACAAACTGTCCGAGTCCAAATATAGTAATTCATAACCCCTCCCTGATCAACATCGGCCTTCGTGCCGTGGTCCCTCTTTCTCCGCACTTGAAGTACCCCGGATCAACGTAACCCCTCCTTTGCATTGACCGTGCCGAGGATAAGGGATATATCCACCTATCTACCTATCGACCCTTTCTAATTTCTGTCCTGACATTTTATCATTCACACTCACATTCTGATTCGATACTAATACACGTAAAGTACATTAATCCAGGTACCCTCACCCGACAATAACAAGACTAAGTCCAGACAACTCAATAGACCCCGACCAGATAGCAACATGACGAAATCATTAACTCCGGGTTCAAGACTCCAAGGTAAAGTTGCCATCGTGACAGGTGTGTATTCCTTTCCCTAAAACCTTCTATTTTGAATCCTAGATCCCTAGCTCGACAAATAGATAGATACCCAATTAACCCAATATCTGAATTACTAATTCGACTCAAAACTACAGGCGGCGGATCCGGCTTCGGCGCAGCCATCGCGCGCCGATTCGGCGAAGAAGGAGCAAAAGTAATAATCGCAGATATCAACCCCGAAGGAGGGCAGAAGGTCGCAGCGCAGAACCCAGACCAGTTACTTTTCAAGAACCTGGATGTCACGAGCGCCGAGGACTGGAAGGCCGTGGTGGATGGGGCGGTAGAAAGGTTCGGTAGACTTGATGTGTTGGTGAATAATGCGGGGACGACGTATCAGAATAAGGTGAGTTTTGGTCTGTTTCACTTCTTCGCTGGGTGTTGGGTGCGTTTCTGGGGTTCTGAAGGGATAGATCGGATGGTTTGTTGTTTGACTGACTAACTGATGCTGTGGATGAATGGGATAGCCAACTGCGGAAGTCACCGAAGCGGAATGGGAACGCGTGTTCAACGTCAACGTGAAAGGCATCTTCCTGGGCACGAACGCCTTCATTCCGAAACTGATTGAACAGGGACAAGGCGGGTCCATGATCAATGTTTCGTCGACGGGGGCGACGAGACCGAGACCTGGGTTGGTGTGGTATAATGCATCCAAGGGGGCGGTGTCGAATGTATGTCCTCTCCTTTCCCCTGTCTCTCCTTACCCATCCCCATAGAGGTGTCCAACGGAATGATTACTGCAGAAACTGATAGACGACAGGCAACAAAAGGCCTAGCAGCCGAATACGGCCCCCACAACATCCGCGTCAACACCGTCTCGCCTCTCCTATCCGGGACGGGCCTTTTCTCCATGTTCACCGGGATGCCGGATACACCTGAAAACCGGGAGAAGTTTATCGGGAACGTGCCGCTAGGCAGACTGACGGACCCTGATGACGTCGCGAACATGTGTCTGTATCTGGCGAGCGACGAAGGAAGCTTCGTGAACGGCACGGAGATGATAGTCGACGGAGGAAAGTGTATCTAATTGGACAGTCTGATGCCGCAATGGTAGCGTTGCTTGTTGCTCGCTTGCAAATTGATGTATGAAAGTTTGGTTGATGATGATAATCGATGCTTTTGCTTTGAAGAACTCAGCGCGACATTCTGTTACTTATGGAGGCAGCCAAACTGGCTGATAGTTTGATTAAATTTGTTGCGGCCATGAACGCGGATCGAATAGAGACCAGTCTTCCTCGAGTAGCCCCATCATGTGCTGGTTTCCGGAGAACCAGTTCCCCAAAGTAGTCTGGGGCGCGTTCATGGGAAGTGCTTGACCCTCCACCCCTCTCATCTCGGCGGGCATCTCGCCCGTCAACGGAGCGGCGGTGACTGTAGCGGCCGCCGCAGCGGGATTCGCAGGACCGGGAACAGCAGCTCCGGCAGTCCAGCGCATTTCCGCATCGTCGGGCGGCGCCGGTGCCAGCCCCAGCGCTGTAAAGTAGGAGTCGAACTCATGGCCGACAGAGGCAAGGGACTGATCCTGCTGGGTCTGGGCTTGGGATTTGGCTTCTAGGTATAATCTCGCGACAGTGCTCAGGACCTGGCAGAGGCGGTGCATTTTGGAGATCGCCTCGGACAAAGCACAGACTGGTTCGAGGGAGGCGACGAAATCTTCGAGGCGTTCCAGGTCCGAGTGGGAGGAGACTTCGATGATGTGGCAGAAGAGCACGATGAATGGGACGAATGGAGAGTAGAGGATGGTCCTAGAGAGAGGAAAGGTGATCAGCTTCTGATTCTGGGTATGTCATTGCCCTCCAGGCGAAGCGAGCTTACCAGTGTAAGTAGGACCGCATCAGGTACTCATCAACCTCTTTGAACATCGCCATGCAAGTCTGATGTGATTCTAGGGCGGTCCGAGCCGTCTCGATGCACTCTTTGATAAAGGTGCTAGGAGAGTCAGGGGGCGGTGGGATGGCTCTGTAGATGAGCGTCAACACGGACAGGCGGCACACTTCGTCGGATCGGATATAGAGCTCCTCCACAATGTTCATATGATTGATCGTCTTGAAGATATGCTATCGTATGTCAACAGCTGATCTCCATGATAAGTACTTGTCTTCAGGTATCCCACCTTGAAAGGCTCCATGACTTTCCATTGCATGTTCGTGGCTAATTGACGAGCATGGCCCACCCGGTTAGTCTCGGGCTGGCAAAGGGCTGCAGGGCTGTACAGCTTCTCGTACACCTGGCCCTGGATCTTTGCCAACCGGATCCACAGCATGTAGATCTCCTTATAAGGCTCCAAACCGACTGTGCTCGATTCCCACGACAAAGAGATGTCGTAGTCCTGAATGGTTGAGGCGCGCCCGAGACGCAACGAGAGCGCTTTATCGATACAGTAGATCGACCAGAACAATCTGTTCTTGTGCTCCTTGACAGCGGGGCTGTCGTGTTCCATCGATGACGCCCGGTGGTAGCCCAGGGTTTGGCATAGACGGGAGGCAGTAGAGGTCAGCGTCAGGCCGAAGGATGGCTTTGAAATTTCAATGGAATGAACAGCCTAGTCAATCAGTATAACTCTGCTTACGAACGGCAGAAAAACTCACTCCCAGGGTCAGTGCCTCGATAGACTCCATCCGCGCAGGCATCAGAAGACTGAGATTGGCCAGTGCCGTTTCCAGATTGGCGTGGCAAAGCTTCAGATATTTCCGGTAATTGTCGCGTGTCTCATCGTCTTTGACGGTATAGCTATACTCCGAAAAAACATAGAACAGCCCTCCATTGACAACAATGAACGTGGCGTCTGAGTATTCCTCCGTGGCAAAGTACACCTCTTTGCATTTCTCAATCAGACGCTCGGGCGGAATGAACGGACAAAAGCCCTGCAGCGCGGTCGGCGGCTCCTCTACTAGAGCGTGAGCATGTTCCTTCACCACCCAATACTGAAAGGAAAAACAACGCACCTTTCAACCGGCGCAACACCGGCAGAACACTCTGAATAGGGGGCATGATCAAGTCGCGCAAGCCAGGGTTTGGAATAGCCCGCTGATTGGGAAAGCGAACTTCCCGGGCTGACGAGTGCGTCTGGTTATCCTGCATACTGACCATCTGCTTCAGCGTCGACAACGCCGCGCCCATCTTCGGGGTCGACATTTGGAGTGCACTGCGGGAAACGGCTGTCTCTAGGAATCTACTGGCGTAGGCGGAATGGGCAGCCAGAGAAGAGTTGCCCTCAAATGAAGGATCGGCCTCGTGTTGTTCCAAGGTTATGGTAGGATTGGAGCGAAACTCGGCCGTCGAGGGAGTGGCCTGTCCCGATACGGGGGTGGCATGGTAGTAGGGCTCAGGGGGAGATTTGCTAGAGGACCCTATGCTGGATCTCAATTCCCGGAGAGCCTGCTCGATACTTCCGAGGCGTTCCTCGATAAGATCGATTTTCTTTTCACTAGACGAGAAGGGAAAGGGGGTCAGGATGCACTAAGTAGATAGGACGATAGGACGGCACAGAGACAACATCCACGTACTATTGACTGGAGATCAAAACTCTTCTACGGGGCTCGCGAGGCTTCTGCCCAGCTCCAGTGGAGCGACAGACAATCTGGGAACTGCGGCAATTCGAGCATGGGGATTGCTTGTCGCAGCGTATCTAGTCGGTGATGGGCCGCAATTAGGGTCGGCTCCAAGACGGATGGTATGGAGAAATGACAATTGCCAAGCGAAGCATACCTTTCTGGAACGGCATTGATCACACTATGCACCGTTAGTATGCATATCGACGTCGCAGAACCACCGTACATGAAGTAGACAAGCTCACCGCACGTTTGCCCAGCGACTCCTTACCGTCGCTATCGGGTCCCTCGGGCTCCATGTTGGCGAGATGTCACAAAGCACAAAGCACAATACCCAGGGGCAGGGAAGGACAGGCGAGTAAGATTTTTCTTTCACTCAGCTAAACGAGCGCAAAAGTCGGCGTAAGACAGGCCGTGGAGCGTGCAGGTCGTAAATGAAAACGGCGGCGGAACCCGCGGACGCCGAGGAAATCAGGCAGCATTGATTTGCCAGGCCGCCCGCCCGTGACTTCACCACTCTGAAAGATGCGAAGTTTTCTGTTTAAGAATGGTGCACCCTCTCCCCCCTTTCTCTAGGCAACCCAGTTTTCACTTTTCAGGTCCTCATGGTGGGTGCATGATCGGCTTGACCCGATCTACTGCCACCACATTGGTCATTGTCTACTGTCTAGAGTTGTATTCGTCTATATCTATTCTATCTCGGTTGTTCGCCGAGGGTCCGTGTCTTCATCAAAGTCATACCATGCATCAATCCAGTTCACCCACATCATTTCTTGATCCCAATGATAGCCAGATTCCGTGGACTTTCGCTGTAATCAAACACAGGCTCAACCCAGCAGTCTTGGACGCAGTCGTACTCGCGCAGGAATTGCCACCGGTCGACGACAATGATGGCTTCCACCAATGCAGAGCTGTAGGCCATCAGGGTCCAGACCACGCTAAGTTTCTTCTTCGCATGCCAGTACTGCTCCACGTAGCGAGCCAGCTCCTCGTCAGTCAGGTCGGCCATTCCCTCCCGGACCTTCTCGCCGAAGTGCGGGTCCCGACTCAATTTCGTCGTCGCAGCGCGAGCATACGCCGGGAATGAAGCGAAGGCAGCCTTGCGCAGGGACCCGACAATGAGAGGGTTCCCGGTTTTGGTTTCGGTCGATTCCTCTGTTCCGTACAGGTCCTCGGGTGTTTCCGGCTTTTCCACAATTTTGCGGTCGACTAGAATGCGCTGTAAAAGGGTCCGGTAAAAGTGGCGCGTGAAGAAGTTCTCGCTATCGTCCCTGCCCCAGTTGTAAGGAGCCTGTAGAGACATTGACCGGGCGGTGATGTTCAACTTGACACCGGCGCCACTGTCGTGCTCAAAGTCCTCTAGCCGCTTCGACATGGGAAAACCGTGGGGGTCGAACGCAACAGCGTCTTGAGTTAGGCGGGGGTGCATGGAGCGCAGAATGGGAAGTTTGTAGGTTGCAGGGCCGAGTCGCTCGGTCACCAAATTGTAGCAGCAGCCGATCATGGCGATGGCTTTCACCGACGGGTTTACTACTAACGATCGCACGCCGTGGTGGAGAAGGTTGCCGCACGAATGCAAAGAGATGACCATGACCTTGGCATCTGACGGCTTGTCATTGTCATTTTTGTCCACGGTATCCGCCGAGACCTGCTTGTCACCAGCAGACGGCGCTTCAATGACATCCTTGATGATGGGCTCCAGATACCCGTCCTTGATTTCGTGCTCGATGTAGTCCATTGTCCCCCTTGGTTGATCAGGAGCAGCACTCTCTTTCTTCTTCCCCAATTTCCCATTAGGATCATTGTGGGACGGAGCGAATCCGATCTCGCCAGGCGTGAGACTAATATCGCGAAAGACATTCACCATCGAGACATCCTCGCCATTCTCCGTAGGCTCCTCGCTGAGCGCAGTTTCCACCGTCTCCGACTGCTGCGACGGGACCTCCGGTTCCGCTGCCTCGGGCGCCGTAGGATCCGCACATTTCACACATTTATCCGTTTTGGCATTGTACATGCGCACCTTCTTTTTCTCCGTCAACTGTGCGTAGATATCCATGTCCTTGGCACCGTTGATGAACTGGTGCTTGCGCTCAATGGCCACAATGTGCCTGTTATACGGCGGACTTGCCAGCGTCCGTCCCAGGTAGCTCTGTCCCGACCCGAAATCCACGACATGGGTGAGCTTATCGCCGCGCTGATCGTCCACCACGGCGCACAAGGAATCCACATATCGCGAGAAATGTGCCACCTCGTGATATTTCTTCGTTTTCATGCCCACAGAAATCCGTCGCGGTATCGAGGGGTTACCAGGCTGCGGGGGGTGGAAATCCCGCGCCAGACTCAGTCGTCGGATCTGGTGGATGTATTCGAGGAAATCGAGCGGGGGAAGTGCAGCGCCCCGCCATTCATTGCTCGCTTCGTTGCCGGCAGCGACCTTGCGGCTCTTCTCGAGGAGCGGCGGAAGGTCCTCCCGGAGGACCAAGTCAATGATATCCTGGATATCGTGCTTGTCGAAGAAGAGTCGCCATGATTCGGGCAACAGCGACGTGTAGAGGTCGGGCTCGCGCGTCAGGAAATCGAGGATGTGCACACCCCCGCAGAGATGCCGGAACATGTCTGAGGAGGTGGCAAATGACAGGAGGGCATCGACGTAGGCATCGTGGTCAGTCCACTCGTCGGAGAGTGGAAGAGGGTTGGGTCGTGACATGCTTGGAGGGGTTTGGGCGTTGCGCGAGTTCACGGTGAACGGGGTATCATATGGATGCTGCAGGACGCGAAGGCGAGGGGGTCGAACGAATGAAAAAGAAAAGAAAAGAAAAGAAAAGAAAAGAAGAATGGACGAGAGGAGAAGGGAAATGAGAGATGTCAATCCCGCCCCGTGGTTCTCAAAGTTCTCGAGGAGAAAAGAGAAAAAAAAAAAAAAAAGACGGAGGGGAAAAAAACGAAAGGGGTTTAGTCGGACGGCGCTCCACCCAGAATTACGGGGAATGTGGAGGTCCTCTGGAACTATGACTCTAGGAGTAGGGGTGACTATAGAAGTATAGAGTATGGTATACGGACTGATCCAGGTATTCGACCTGTCGAGAATATCCCCTATTTTCATTCCTCCGGTTTGAGAGACGTCTCACGCATTTGAAGCCACGAACTATCCCCGCCTAAACTGTCAATGCAACAAACTATTGACACCCGATGGCAATAGTGGCCTAGAATGACTGTTGATGTCGCAATTTGGCCGGTATAGGGGATTGGGCCCTGGTCTCTGGCCAGTTTCTCCGGTGACGGGGCGTATATAGAATGTGATAGAAGCATATTGACAACGCATAATCCCTCAAACCGGATTCCTCCCCTTGTTCATTCACCCGTAGACGTGGTTGGATTCTTCAAAGAAGAATCCTATGCCCAATTCTGCCCGAGAGAGACACCACATCTTTATATTCCTCCCGAATGACCAGTCAGTCTGGCAACGGAGAACCACGACGTATGTTGCTCCTGCAGCCTGCATGCTCAGCCCTTTCGACATACATCATACCCAAGGGCTCGGCCGCTTATCTACTAACGCGTCACACCGTCTGCGCCTTTATTGCCTTCAAGCAACAAATATCTCCCCCTTGCTGATTGGAAGCGGCCAATCTTGAGCGTGCCCGGCGGAGTATTAAACGGACCATATCATATTGGATTCCCACAACACCGAACTGAGATCTGACATTTCAAACATGGTGAGTACACGGACTGAAGTTTTCTGGTGAGATACCATCCAGGACAGTTGCTGATCATGTATCTGCCAGTTTTTGACAACGAGTAAGCCAAAGGAATTGCCTTTCGGCCGGATCCACGATGTACTATTTCAAATCATCATCAACGGGGATATGGATACCCTTATGACCCTCTGTCTGGTAAATAAGAGTACTTATGAAGTGATCCAAAGCATGGAGCAACATATCTGCGGATATTTCATGCGTTCCCATGGCATCACAGCGTTTGACCCGGCTCTTACCTTAAACCCTTGGACGGGAGGCCAGAATGCCGTCACGGTGCACAACATTCGAAAATTCACCGAGCGCCAGGATATTGCGCACAGGCTGGCCCACCATATTGTGCCTTCGGTGTGGGGTTCCATCTCCGATGACGAACCATCAATAATGAGCCTCAAAGCGGAGCTCCAGCTGGCCCAAGGGCTAGAGCGTGGCCTCTATGTGCTTTTCCACATGGCGGACATCGCCCATCCGACTAGAAAAGTCTCAAACCCACTCATCACCGGAAGACTGAAGGTGCTCAGCAAGATACTGGACGAATATAACCGCTTACCGCTGCCCAGGCGAAAGGTCGTATCATTTGAGAACTATGCCAGCCATATCCAAGGGGTCCTGAAATACGGATATAAAGAGGCCGATATCGGCACAAGACGATTAGCGCTTCGATGGCACTTCGACAAGCCGACGCAAGTTGACTTCTACGCCACCATCCGCATGTTGCGCGAGCTCATGGAGCGCATGCTCCTGCGGCACGGACCCAAGGATTACCATCGAGACACCAACGACGAGTTCAGTGTTATCTCGTGGTTCCTATTGAAGCAATCGCCGCAGTCTCTGGAGAAGCTGTTCCTCGGCCCTCAGGATGATTGCTGCACGTTCAAGCCGGACTCCACTGACTGTAGTGTCAAGCAATGCTACTTTTCAGACCAGCTGGACGACTACTGGAGAGCCTGGAAGGATGTTCCCGACTTGGGGTGTCAGGACTGCGACTGCAAGCGGCGGGTCCGAAGCTGGAGCGTGAAGCCCGCGCTGATCGACCACGCAGGGGTGTTGGATCGTACAGCAGAGCGTTATCTCAAAGAGATGTGGACTCAACGACATGGGCCGTACCATGATTTTTGGATATTTTAACATGGTTCTTTGATGGAGAGTTTAGATACCCGGATTACGGAGGTAGATTGATCAATGAACCATGATCCAGATTAAATACAGTCCGCACGGATAGGTACTCCGTAGATGCTGACCGCCTTACCTACCGCCCAATGACCTCCTGATCAGCTCCACCGTCGCCCTCTTTCATAGAAGTTGTCATCCTCATCATCTCGAACCTCAACGAGGCAGACTAGCCAGAAACCATACCCAGTAACTTAATACATCGCAACAAAATGGATCACTCCGACCCCTTCCTCCAGGTCCAAGCGTGCGTCCGATCCCTCCACCTCCCCCCTTTTTGGCCCTCTGATGGCTGACGCACCCCATACAGAGACGTTCTCTCAACGCTACAGACTTCACGACCTCTATTCTCTTCCTACCTCCGGATCCGCTCACTAGCCAAGTCGCCGACAAACCCCGAATTGCAACAATCCCGTGCCGAGCTGGAAACCACCTTAACAGACCTTAGCGCCGACCTAGACGACCTAGTCGAGAGCGTGCGAGCAATCGAGCAGGACCCGTACCGCTATGGCCTCGAACTCGAGGAGGTGCAACGACGGCGCAAACTTGTCGAAGATGTCGGCGCGGAGATCGAGAAGATGAGACAGGAGCTACAGCGAGCGGTCACCAGCTCGGCGGCCAACAACAACAACAGCCCGAATCATGCATCAGGACTTCCTAACCCCGCGGATTTCGATGATACCCTTTCTCCATCGGGCGAGGATCGAGGTGGTGATTACTATGCGGCTATGGAGCAGCAACGGCAGACGGAGCTCATGCACGAGCAGGATGAACAGCTGGATGGGGTGTTCCGGACGGTCGGGAATCTGAGACAGCAGGCGAATGATATGGGGCGGGAGCTGGAAGAGCAGGCAGTTATGATTGGGGAGGTCGATACGCTCGCGGATCGGGTGGGTGGAAAGCTACAAAGTGGCATGTCGAAAATCAAGTATATCGTGAGGAAGAATGAAGGTAGGTGCTCCTTAGCTTACGACTCCGGAAGCGATGGAATATCCAAACTAACGCCAACGTGGTCTTCTAGATACGATGTCGTCATTCTGCATCGCCGTGCTCATCTTCGTCCTCATTCTCCTTTTGATTTTGCTCATTGCGTTATGAAGAGATCTGAAAATAAATTACATCGGTGCGAAAGATCAACCTCGACCTCGGTTTGGAAAAATCGAAGTCCGACCGTTAGACCTTGGTCTTCTTGCGGGGTCTCTCCTCACCCTCGTCCTCACTCTCGTCGTCCTCTCCATCCATGAGTTCGCTGGCGTCATCGTCGGCAGCCCCGCCTGTTAGATGTCAGCATTCCGTGCAAGATTCCTGGAGTCAAAATACGAACCGAAGTACTTGAAGGCGTGAGTGTACAGGTCCTCTGCCAGGGCGATCGCGAGCTCGTCGCCATCGGGGAAGATCTCGATCGCCTCATCGGTGTCCTCGTCATCATCCTCATCCTCCTCCTCGTCGTCCTCCTCAACCTGCTCACCCTTGACTAGCTTCTGGAATCGCTCGTCATCCTCCTTCGTGGCAGCCTTGGACTCCTCCGCGGTAACGGACCGTCCGCGATACCCGAAGAGGGAGAAGAAGCTCGTTCCGGCGGGGCTCAAGGCACCCAACGAGAAGTCATCATCGTCGGCATCCTTGCCCTCGTCGTTCGTCGCCTCAGCGGCCTCCTCGATCTTGCTCTGCAGCTTCTTGAACTCCGGCAACTCCTTGCGATCACCCTTGTTCTTCTTCTCGGCCTCGGCAAGATCACACGCCGCGTCCAGCAGCCCCTTGGTCAGATCCTGACCCTCCTTCCAGTTAATGCGCACGGGCTCCGAGACCAAGCCTTCCCACGATCGCTTCGCGCCAGAAGGCGAGCGCGTGATCTGCTTCCGCCAGTAGAACTCCTTAACCAGCTTCTCGTTCTCGAAGGACTCGTTATCCTCGGGCCGGAACTCAAGAGTGAGACGGAAGCTGCGCGGCTCGCCGTTGCCCTGGTCGTCAACCTCGAAGCGCTCAACGGAAAGGCTCTTCAGTGCGATGCCGAGAACGGCGGCGTCGGACTCGAGCACATACTCGTCGACATCCGGGGGCGCGTTGGCGAACACCTGGGTCCAGAAGGAATCTTTGAGAGCGGAGTTGGCGATGGCCTCGTCGCGTTCTTTGAGGATGGGGCGGAAACGAGTGACGCCGTTGCGGACTGGCGAGTGAATTGGGTTAGCGATTGACAAGATGGAATGGATTGAACTTAAGTGCATGAAAGTAACAGAACCGAAGAGTATCCAGTATCCATAACCATATACCCAATCCATACTCATGAATCCAACCGAAAGAGAATTTGTGTCAAAAAAAAGGAAAAAACTCACTCTGATCAACCTCAGCACGCACGAACTTCTGCTCAATCAGGTTGAACTGCTGCGCCAGCTCCTTGGGGATGTCAGGGAGAATAAGATCCTCAATGTTTTCGGCCATTGTGAAATGTGTAAAGAATTATCGCAAGAGAAAGGGAATCCAAAATGAAGTGAAAATTTGCAATAAATCGCCAGACCAAAAAACCCAAGGTATGACGCAAGCCAATAAAAAGTCCAAAGATGGGGTATCGACGGGAGTGGAAATGAAAAAAGGGAAGCTCAACGATCAAATGCGCGAACTTTTCAAGGGAATCAGAGCTAGGAAAGAGGTAGCTCAGGGGGTGAGAGAGAATAGAGTGTAGGAGGAGAGAAAAAAAAGAATGCGATGTTAAGAGATTTCTAATTAGACTTGCGCATCGCCATGAAACCCGTGCCTGACTAAGGGCCGACGGGGCCAATCGGGGGTCCGTGAGGAGGTGCGGGTCAACGCTGATATCATCACTCGTCCCTAGTATAGTTAACTAACTACGGAGTTACTATGGTTGCATCCAGGTACTGTACTGGTGAAGGAGTCTGTAATCATCAACTTCATGCTTCACTCTGGGAATACAGAGTTCTGTGCATCTTCGAAAGCTTGACTTGGACTCGCCCCTTCTACAGAACCTTTCTCATGGTGTTGCTATTAACAATATGGCAGCTGTTAGTTTATCCGCCTGCATTTTCGTGAACGCAATGACTTCAAGGACATAACAAAACTCATGTTGGGCTCGTTTTAGACAAGGGGCAACTTGGCAATAGATATTGTGGCCATGGTTATTTTCTTTATATCTGACTAGCTCCTGGAAATATATATTAGATACTCTTTCGGACGTAACGACAAAAGCAGCAGTCAATAAGCCATTGGCTTCGTAAAATCATCCGTTGATATATCGTTGCCAGCATCCCACGGATCAACTGCCCGTCTCTGCTTGTTCATGATCATGACGCCAGATGTGCTGCTTGTCGAGTCACGATCTACTGGGCAACGGGTGGCCTTTCCGCCAGAGTCCCCTCATCCGCGCGGTCGGGGCTTCCGTCCACGCCCCACTCATAAACGATGGAGGAGAGCGGGTACCCATGCCGTCGTTCGTACGGACCCCTCGCCACTGTAGAAGAATCGCACCGGTTTAGGATTGGGACTGCTTTGGGGCGAAATGTGCTGGTGCGGTGTTCATAAGGTAATGATAAGTACTAACAGGAGCCAGGGGGAGAAATGCCAAGTACGCAGGCACGTAAGAATGTATCGCCACCCAGCCAACCGTACCCTGAGATAAATCCTTCCTAAGAATATCATTGGTAATCAGATTTCATCGTTCCAGCCCATGGACTGATTCCATAGCAAGTCGCCATCTATCCAGTCAACATCGCCCTGAGAATGGCCTCCTCCTACGTCTACCATCTCGGCCAGAGAAAGAATCTGGCCCGGCGATAAATCGTAGGTAGCACCGACTTCCCTATCCGCCTCTATGGGATCGCTCGGCTTGTCACGAGACTGGGTCTCGGGCTGCTGTTCGATCAAGTGGCCTTGAGCTTGGTCACGAGCATTGCAATCGGCACTGCTGGTGGTCGAATTCCACTGAAGAATCATGTTCTGAAGCAACTCAATCTCGGATTTGCGAAACCGTGCAGGTGTGGATCCACGGCTGATGAACTCGTCGAGGAGCTGACAGGTGGGCTGGTAGAGACTCGGCTGGCTCTTGTCATTAGAACCAACGAATGAAAGCATCACCGAGACAAAACCCGATGAGAACGTTCTTTCAAGATCAAATGGTAGGGCACCTCCTGGTGCGTGATAACAGCAGGTTAGCTAGGCATTGAGTTTCAATTTCGAATTGATAACCACCTGGAAACTTACCCAAGAGACCCTGTTGCTGAAGCACACTGAGAATTCTAAGCATATTATTACAGGTCTCAGTACAGGTACTGAGAAGAGCACGAGTAGTGGCTGAAAATGCGCGTGTCGGCTCAATATTACTCTCTCCACTTTGTAGCTTTGTTTGGAAGAGATGTAGCAAGAGTGGATACATGGTAAGGAGTATTGCCTAGGATCGTGGCATTAGGCATGGAACAGTGGTGGAAATGACCGCTTACCTGATGATACAAAAGATGGAGGTGAGCAGCGACCCGCGATATACTGCCATCGGAGCCGTCCGATGATAGTGGACAGCACTCATTTAGGTCACTAGCAATTGAGGCAATACTTCCAAGGACTTTGCGAACGCAGGGTAGAAAGCTGCTCTGCAACCGACCTTCCGCACCGTATACCTCTTCACATATCTCTTAGACATCATAGTCTGAATTGAGGCAGAAAACCGAGTGCATACGTACTATTGACGACTTCAGATATAAGATTGGAAAGCCTCACGTGAATGTAAAGGGATGTTCCACGCCCTGGTCTGTCTCGTTCAGGCATTGGGGTTGTAATATCGGAATCTTGGATGGAGATTGGAACACCCATCGAAAAGGAAAACGTGCGATCTAGAACATACACTGTCCACCATATTCGGTGGCATCGTTCAGTGGCCTCCGGGCTCCAGTCGTTTGTTGGACGCTCGCGATGCAGCCCGAACGTCACTGCCATCCGCAAGGCTGATCCTATCTGCAAAACGGTTAGCCATCTGATAGAGAAGGATGGCTGCTGCGGTTGGCTCACATAGACGTATGCAGAGTTTCGCGAGTCGGCACACTGCAGATAGAGCGATATCGCACAGAGAGTCTCAACGGCGGTCAGGGCATCCGAGAACAGATACGGCGTATCTGGGAGCAATGACATGGCTCGAAGAAAGAGACTGGACCCTGGAAGAGTGATAGCCCCGCGGCTAGGCTGGACGACAAGGGATTTCGCAAGCCCCAATATGGTTAGAAACTGGACATACCAGATTTTGTGGTTCCTTGCTACCTCAACCGGGAAGTTGTAGAAGTCATTGAGGAGACGCATGAATCGTGACTCGTCAAAAAGGTGGTAGAGCTGGCCAACATGAAACTTGAAACCATTTACCAGGTAAAGTGCGTAATCTGCAGAAGGCAAGTCACTGAAACTTGCTGGATCCTCGAAGCCTGATGACCCCCAGCTTAAAGGATATGCTCGACTCTCTTCGTTGGTGGTAATTTCAGTTAATGGCGGCTCCTGGACATCCAAGTGACTGTGCATAAGTCTTAATGTCTTGTGAGTGAAGGACCACGTTGAAGACTCGCCAAGACATCCTGCGTCGCCGAGTTAGTATATACTGGTGATAGTATTGAAGTTGAGGCAAGTCGCTCACGTAGTCGGCTCTTGTCGTCAGACAGATAGGCCGAAGAGGTCGAGGCAAGCGGATTGGACGCTTCGATTTGGGCATTTGATGATGACTCGATTAAAATTGGTGTTTGAAAAGGCTGATTTGGTAGTGAAGCAGGTTGACCATCTCGATTGCGGGGAGGCTGGGGGGTGGTCTCTGTCCTTGGCGGTTGACTCTGCATATCATCATCGCACCAGGTAAGATCTTCATCCATTCTTTCCCCAGTAGAGCCGGCAGCCTGCCGCAGACGCCTCAAATATCTGGGACAGGAAGACAAGTGTGAGCGTACAACACATTTTACTTAATGAGAGATGGTGAAAGCCTGGGTCGATGATGAGGGCGCAATACAGACTTTTGGGAGATCACGACCTTTCGACCCTGGTCATCAAAATGACATTCTCTGTTCCTTCGTGTGCAATTAGCGCAAGGATGCAAGCCCGAGCACCGAATTTTCCTCTGTCTGCAGTGGCGGCATCTGCAGGTGATGGACTTTAGCCCCCGATAGAAGGAAAGTGACTTCTTGAATCTTGAGCAGGTGACTACTTACGCATTGCTCACTCGTCTGCTTCCCGTATTCTGTTCTTCATTCATCTCGTACCCTGTGTTCTGCGGAAATGGAGATGGAATGCGACCGGGGTGGGAGAGGAACAAGAGATCAGGAGGGATGGATGAGATGGCCGATCCCCAACCTAGTAGGCACCTGCCCAAAAGAACCTAGCGCACACCTGATGCCACACTCATACTACACTTTCACTCGTTCATCTCACAGTATTCAGCATACAATGGGCCAGCCTAGCCCAGGTATGATATCCCAGCTATAAATTAATTACTTTCCAGATAAGATCTAGGTGATATGGGTAGGCCGTGTTAAGCTCTGGCCAATCTATATATTCGGCTGGATGTGATGACATGAGCAGGGTCCTCTACCAAGTTACCACAGAGCGTGCTGACCAGATGTTGAAGAAAAGTTCTCTTGACCTCTTCAGTTTCTGCCTCTTCATACGAGCGTCGACCTGAAACCAAATCCATTTCTTCAGCCCGCACACGCTTGGTCCGCCTCCAGACCTTGAATACCTGGATGTTAACAAGGTAAAGTGCAATGCCAAGATACGATGTAATGAAGGTGTCAACCTTGAAGCCGCCAATAAATGCCGAGTACCACTGAAGACAATGACGATAATGGCAATGACAAAGGTGACGTACACTCCATAAGGCTGTAGGGGCCCTTTCCATGGTAGCCCCGCACGAGTGATTCCCTGAGCTTTGATCCCCCGCTGAAAACAATAGTAAATTATAATGATGTTGACCCAGTTGATCAGACCTAGCACGATGGAGATAGAGACAAAGTAGCCAAAAATCTTACTCGACGAGTTGGACACGTTAAGGAAGGCAAGACAACAGAACAGCGATGCAGCGGTGACGGCGTAGACCGGCACGCCCCAGCGATTCGTTTTCATGAAGATTGACGGGGCCTGCTTGTCACGCGCTAGACCGTACAGTGTTCGAGATGCAATAGATGTCTAATTCTCGTCAGTGAACTCGTAGAACTCGACTGGTTTGTGCCTGAGGCTATACCGGAGTTCGCGAAGCTCACGGTGAACATAAGGAATCATGTGTTCACAATCCCAGGCAGTGTCTCGACGCCTGCGAGCTTGAGGGCAACAACAAAGGGTGATGCAGCTATTGAAAGCGAAAGCCGGCAATCAGCACTTGGCTCCTAATTTCGCGCACACGGCGATAGCTCAACTTACAAGCACTGGTTTCCGCGTTGTTCGCAGACAAGAGAAGATCGTTGGTGTACGGCACTGTCGTGCCCAGAACAATGACACCACCGATACAGAAGACTGCGATACGCCAGATAGTCTGTTTTACAGCCCTGGGGATCGCCTTGCGTGGATTTCTGGCCTCTTCATAGGTAATGCCCACCACATCCCATGAACATGAATGCGCTTTGCACCATGCAAGACCAGAACCCCAGGAACCTTCCTAAATCACCTTCGGCAAGATATGAGGCAAAAGCACCAGGTTCTTTCCAGTATCGGAACCCAACACGCTCGCCTGATGGAGATCCACCGAGTGAAACTATGGAGCAACATATAATCAGACCTATGAGGACTGTTATTTTCACAATCGCCATCACAAACTCCGTCTCGCCAAAATTCTCGACCGGCAGGAACTAGAGCTCAAAAATATTAGGACAAGGCAAAAAAAGTCATTCGAAGGACATTAGGAATCCCTTACATTCAGAGCGACAACGAAAACACCAAACACCGCAATCCAGACGCCGACATTTAGGTCCTCTATCCAGTATCTAATAACAAGGCCGGTCGCGGTAAGTTTGTTTGCAAGGAGCACGGCGTACTTGAAGAAGTAGTTCCATCCTGTAGCGAATCTAGCAAAGTATGAGTTGACAAGGTTCGATCCCTTTGCGTGCGTCTTTGGCCAAACAAACGTATCACTTACCCGAGTGCAGGATCAACAAATCTAGTAGCATAGCCACTGAAACCCTTGCTCATCGGAGCGAATATGGCCATCTCAGCGAATGCCGTCATGATGGTATACACACAAGCACCCATAATTAGATAGGCAATCAACATGCTCCCTGGGCCCCCAGAAGCTAAGACCTCACCGCTTCCTATGATGAGATCTGTGCCAATGGATCCTGCAATAGCGAACATGTTAACATGGCGATTCTTGAATCCTCTCTTCAGCTCTGTCTCCGGCTGATTCTCGACCGTCCCCATCTTCAGCGCCTCCTCCCTTGCGGAAATTTCGATATTCTCTGGTCCATCGTTTGGTGTTGTGATTTTGTCATGTTTAGATGCCGTGATTTATCAAGAGAAGTACATGAATATAAGAGCAAGGATAAACTTGGGACTTAAATCGAAGACTGCCCAAGGGGGGAGGACGCCTTAGTCTATATAACTTTCTACTGTCCATGAGTGATTTCTATTTGATAATGAAAACCTGGGCGATCAAGGCTATCTGGGGCCAATCTAGGGTTATCTGGGGACCCTAGATTTCCTGTACGAGACTCCAACCGTTCGCCACACAGTCCCGTGGCTGCCGGCAGGGAAATCCGTCGCGGCAAGGCGAGCCGCTGATAAAAGATGAACCATTCCAACTCCACCATAGTCTTTGTCTAATATCTCGACCCACTACGGCTTATCATGGCATCTGCTTATCTATTCAAATAGTTAATTATGCTTTGCGGGGTTATGACGGATACCGGGGTCCATTTTAAAATGGGTCGCTTAATGATTCTTCACGCATTCATGAACGAGAAAACCGATGCTAGAATTCACGAAATAAAAGGATAGGAAATAAAAGGCTAGACGGTTTGACATATTCTAAGCTAGTAGTAGAGGCAAGCGACACATCATCTTTTGCTCTCATCATCACAGCATTAATGCTAGCTATACCTCGGAATACAGGCCTCTAGAAATCCCCGACTGGTGCCCCGAGGACTCCTTGAAAAAAAAAATAAAAAAAAATAAAAAAAAATAAAAAAAAGAGCAAATATCACTCAAGATACTACAGGTGAAATTGTATGGAATCAATGAATATGATATTGGTAACATGGCATTTCCCCCGAGATGGGCACATGGAATATATGATCAGCGACATGATTAATTAAACTTTGCGAGAGGTGTGTAATGACAGGATTGGTATGAAGTCCAGGGCATTAGTCGTCTACGAATTTCCCGACCAACCCTGATCCTTTCGGCGCTCGCACCGCCTCTTCCCTCCAGAACCGCCTTGTTTTCCGTAGCTCTTCTCGCCAAAAACGGCAGGCATCCATTCAAATCACCGTAACCCATTGACTTTAAAAAGGATGAATGTGTTAGTTTGATGGCTCCCAATATCTTCGCCCGGGCGAAGTGCAATCAAACCTTGATCACGAGAGGGAATCCATTTTCAGTAGAAATAGATCCGGCAATCTTGTTAGTGAAGTCGTCTTTCATTCCTTTGATGAGGTTAACACCAGAATATCGGCCAAGCCATATGAATGAATTGCGAGTCTTGCCGTATATCTGACCGAAAGCAATACTTCCAGCAGCCTCATTCGAGACAATGAGTTTGTCGTTGCCACTTCTGCGCTTTGCCAACCCATGAGTCTCTAGAAGTCTGATACCGAAATCAATACTATAGAAGTTATGTGTGGCAAATACAGCACCAATCTCGGGGTTACCAGTCTTCTGAATTTGCTTCTTTACAGTTGCGAGTGTCTTCTCTATACCGTAGTTGTAGCTGGCGTCGGTCTCCGCCTTGGTTCCCCAGACAGGCCCGGGCCCTTGACGAACTTCCTTATGCCATCGTTCCCCCTCAGTCTTGATATATGCTCCCCTGACCTGTTTGAATAGAAGCTTATACCCTTTCTCCTGGGCTCTGCGGATCTGCTGATCAAGAAACTGGGGGTATCGGCGGAGATAGGCTTGGAATGGGGCAACACAGGTGGCAGGTCCATCCAGGGTATTATATTTTTTTTTTTCATAAACTCATCCGTCAAACTGTCGATTATGGGTTGATACCAGGATTGCTCAGCATCGACAATAGCGTACATTGCATTCGCGTCCTTTCTTCATAATGGTGTCAAGTGTTGCATACAGGTCCACAAGCTGCTGGCGATCGGAGGTAGTAGCCTGCGTCCCGTTCAACGCTGCCTCCCAATCACCGTCGTGAAGTAGTCCAGGATACGGTACATCCTTATCGAGGTTCCTTGCCTCTCTCGCTTCGAGAATTGCCTCTGAGTCATGCAGTAAAGCGATCGGATGCGACAGAAGTCCAGTGACTTTGATCCTTATCCACGAACGGTTGTCGCCGCTGGTTGCGCTAGTGTCGGGGCAGAACTTCCTGCCTAACTGCGACTGCGTCTCGATTGACTCCAGAACGTGTTGCACCTGAGGGCGGATCAAGCCGGGATCTTTACTTGACCCATCCAACTCGGCCTCAATATTGTAGCCCAGGAGAGTTCCAATGTGTCTCTGCCGAAGGGCTTGGATCTTCGGGATGCAATCCTGTGTTGTCTCCCCACCTAGAAATTGATTGAAGAAGATCTTCATCACAAAAAAGTGTGTAAAAGAAGAAGCAATGGGCATTGATGATAAGGCATTGTAGAGTGTCTCACTTATATCAACCCAACTTGGTGACGAGCAGAATGCAAAGGCCCTGTTCTACTATCAGTATATCTGTATTAGGAAGAGATCTGAAGCAAGACTAGCCAATCAACGCACAACCAACCTGTCAAAAGCTTGCTCAGAGAAGTTTTTCCGAGTGCTTCCACGTCATGCGCATTAACAGGTTCCTTGTCCCTGCTGCCGCCTACTAAGAGCAACCGAAGAACAGTAACGCCGGTGCCGCAAGCGACGCATACAATCTTCTTTTCCTTCCTAAGTAGGTTTCCCCACTTGGAACCAGTGTTTCTCCATATAGCAATGGCCTTTTGTTGTGCTGACGTCGATGTTAAACGAACTGACTGCCGTTGGGCCATCATCAGGGCGACCCGTGATGTCAGGACGGCTCTCAGTCTAATCGTTGGCATTGGCAACATTGTCAAGGAGGAGTCGGATTCGGTTCAGATTATGTGAGTAAAGGAGATCGGCTACTGGCTTAGTGTCCTCTGCCTTTTCAACTACATTTAAAGATCGGGTCATGAATAGGAGCAATGTAAGCCGTCTCTGACGGCAATGATACCCGCGCGCGAGACCAGCCATCCGGTGCGGATACGGAAAGCGATCCCGCATCAATGGTGCGGATGGCAATGCCGGCGATAAGGATAGCTAACAGCTAGAATGAGCAGCTCGCATGGTGTCGGATTTAATTTAGAATCTCCCTTCCATTGAAGAATAGCTCATCAACACCACTACCTCATTCCGCAAATATCTAAGCACATCCAACTCTATGAAGACAGTCTGCCCGACCGCGCGCCTCGCACCATCGGCCCTTACGTCCACGCCGTCGTGCACGACAACCTCGTTTTCACCACAGCCTGCATTCTCCTCGACCCTGCCACCATAACCTCAATCTCATCCTCGAGGAATCCGGGACGACTCTAGACCGCATCATCAAGCAAAATGTCTACCCGACCGACTTTGAGCAATTCGAGGCTTTTAATAAAGTCTCTGCGGAGTACCTGGGTGATCATGGACCGGCGAGAGCTACGATGAAAGTGTAAGAAGTTCTAAATAATGCACCTATGGGGTTGGATGTTGTGGCTGCTTTGCCGGGAGGAGAATGAAGTGGGTTCAGGACGGTTGGCTTCCAGGAAATTAGTCGGAAAGATAGTTATTGAGAGGGCGCGGAAACAGTTGACAAAGTATGCTTGCGTGTGAAGACTGCAAAGGGCTGGACAGTCGAGGTTCCGTTATATAATGTGATACCCCAGATTGCAGCCAAATACGACCTGGGCTTGAACAATGATCGTGATGCCACAACTATAACATTATTTTATTAGATAGAAGCAGTAAAGCAATGACGTACGTTTCGGTCCACCTGCCTTAGAAGGTATTTTGATGCCTTACTGCCTTACCGTCATTGCCATCTGCCTCTTCTCTCCTTCTTCGTCTTCTTCTTCTCCCCCCGGTTTCTTTCTTTCTTTCTTTTGTTTCGTGCGAGACCCGTTCAAATCATGGTCTGCTTCCTTTTCTAGTTTTCGTTGATGTCTTGACGTCGTTCTCCTTGATTTCTCGGAAACGGGATATGCCTGTATCCTGCCCGGTGGAACTCTAACTTTAAACGGAGAATTAAAATATCAGCCCTTCTTCAATACGTCGTATACCCCTTCTAAAATCCATATGTGTGTATATCTATAACATATACATATAACGCATATTTTTGGAGTCTCAATTGTCCGCCACATATTTCAGCTGTCCGCCATGTCCTTAGTATACACGCTGATCAAATTAGCTATCCTCTTCTCGGGGCTGATCTCTCTCCATCACTGCCTGAAACGCCGAAGAGCACATGGCTTACCACCTCCTCCCGGGCCAAAAGGCAGTCTCGTTACTGGAAATTTAGCGGACCTGCCAAAATCTGACGAACCCGAGGCGTTGCATTGGTTGAGACATAAGGATTTGTATGGTATGTCACATTTGCGCCCTGCACTTGTTCTATAATATAGATGTATTAACAAACGTTTCAAAACAAGGCCCAATAAGTTCTGTCAATGTAATGGGACAGTTGTTCGTCATTATTAACGACGCCTGGATGGCATTCGAACTTCTGGAGAAACGCTCCGCGATCTATTCTTCGCGGCCTAAACAGGTGATGGCAGGTGAATTGTACGGTTGAGCCCTGCTCTCTTTTCCCTTCACTGGATAACTTTTGATCCTGGAATCACTGACAAGTATCACCATGTAGGCTCGGTTGGGAAAACGCACTCGCCTTAATCCCGTACTCTGCCAAAGTTCGGAGTCATCGGCGCAATACATCCCGATTTATTGGGTCGAGAAAGAAAGTCGCAGAATTGCCTTTGCGGTCTCTGGTCGAGGCAGAATGCGGTCATTTTCTACTTCATACGTTTAGGGACTCACTTGGACTAGTAAAGTATATTAGACGGTTGGTGCCGATTCACCCAGGCCTGAAATTATTCAAAAGATGATGTCAACAGCCCTCTGACAAACCCCAGAGAAGCAGGTGCTATAATTCTCAAGTGTATTTACGGCTACACGATTGAATCCCATGGGACAGATCCCCTCGTTGATGGGGCTGAACAGATTGGGATCGAGTTTGCCCAGGCAGCCGTTCCAGGTAGTTGGGTTGTCGATATGCTTCCTTTCCGTGAGTCTCGTTTTTCTCATATCGTACTATTTACTGGTAACTAAAAGTAAAAAGTAAAATGGATACCCGACTGGTGTCCCGGCTCCAAGTTCAAGCTCTCAGCTCGAGAATGGCGTCGCAATCTAATGGAGTTCACGGAGACACCTCACGCCTTTGTCAAAGGTGAGATGTCTCATGGTAGACACACCCCATCGATTCTGTCCAGTCTCCTGGATCAGAAGCACTTAAGCCTTGAGGACGAGGATTTACAAAAGTGGCTTGCTCTCTCTATATATGCGGCTGGGGCAGATACTGTATGTTAATGTCTATTGACCCCACATCTCCAAGCGTCACATTAACTATCCCAAAGGTAGTGTCAGCCATCGCATCGTTCTTCCTCGCCATGTCGATCTATCCAGAGGTCCAGCAGAAGGCGCAGGAAGAAATCGATCGCGTGGTGGGATCCGCACGTCTCCCGAAAGCCAAGGACCGCGAGAACCTACCTTACGTCGATGCGCTCGTCAAAGAGACCCTGCGATGGAAGCCGGTAGCGCCTATGGGTCTTCCGCATACCAGCACAGCGGACGATATTTTCGAGGGGTATTTCCTCCCCAGGGGGACGACAGTGTTGGCGAACGTCTGGTACGCACTCTGTCCTAGTGACCTCTACCACTTATCTCTTCATCTCATATGCGACGTCTAATGAATGATTATAGGTATTTCACTCACAGCCCAGCAACATACCCCAACCCAATGTCCTTCAATCCCGAGCGTTTCCTGCCAACCGGCAAGAACCCTACGCAGGAGCTTGATCCCCACCGCTTTGCTTTCGGGTTCGGACGACGCACGTGCCCCGGCCGCTTCCTCGCCGACTCGATCATATTCCTGAACATTGCGCAGTCACTGGCGGTGTTTAATATTAGCAAGGGGAAAACAGCCGACGGGGTAGGCATTGAGCCGGATGTTGGGTTCAAGCCGGGGGTTGTTAGCCATCCACATCCGTTTACGGCTGCAGTCACGCCACGGAGTGAAAAGCACGAGCTGCTGGTGAGGGATGTTGAGAAGGTGTTCCCGTGGCAAAGAAGTGATGCGGATAAATTAGATGGGAGATGGAGTGTTTGTGGGCACGAGCGAGATCAGGACATGAATGTAGAGGTCTAGAGACTCTCTGAAAGAAAAATCGGAACTATACTTTACACATATTCTAGTGACAGTAGGTACCGCCTAGAGAGATAGAGGAACACACGGAGTACTTTTTTAGGCTGGAGTGAAGATATCACGGGTATTGAATTAATATTAAGATCTATAGGAACGAGTATTAAAGAGGAGTTGTTGGGAAAACTGGAGTCTAAAATTAGCCCCGGGAATCTAGACCGTCGGGAAGTGGCCTGACTTACACCGCCGAAACCAAAGATGATGTCATAACTCATGAATTTTTTGTGACGACCGAAAAAATGCCGCAAATGTGTCAAATAATCTGTCATCGGGTTAGACGAACCTCACAGCAAAGAATGCGATTGCCCATCAGAACGTACCGTATCGATTGAACTCGCAAACTTAGAAAAACACTTTTGTATGTGGAAATTGTACGGCAGAGATGATGACGTCACCGAGAAGCGTGCTATAGGGAAATATATAGTTAGTTCTGCTGCATCTAAACCATGAACAACATCAATTGAGCTCACCATCTTCGATTGGGTTCGTTCATCGGAAATGCTCGAACGAGCCGACCGTGTGAACATTGATCCTTTGCGTGATTCAGACATCGAGGACTTCCTCGATCCCAGCAGGCTACCTGTTTGTGACGATCCGCGATGCGAGTTCATGGCGCGGCGGAGGGAGAACTTGGGAAGCGAGACTTCGGGGAAGGGGTCGGCGTGGAACATCATGATTATCGAGGTGGAAACCGGAAATGGTATATTGTAAAGACTTCAATTGAGGGTCTGTTGATCGAATAATGATATCCTGAAGCTATTCTGGACCTGCATCGCGACGGCCTCGCGATTATTTATAGTGATCCGTGGCCGGACCGTATGGCCGGGAAGCAGCTCGGGAACGGGTCCCGAGCAAGTTGAAGAGTTTTGGCGGGTGGAGCCCCCCTGGCCTCGGGTCGCCCCCCGAATGGCTCGGTCACTCCATTCACTGCGTGGTTTTGTCGTGGGCAAGGCGTGCCTGGTCGATCATCAGGCGATGACTGCTTTTGTGGCGTGACTCATTCATGGCCATTTTCAGGGGGCGAATGATATTGAATTAAGGGATTGACAGGTCTTGTGTTATGATTATTATTGAATGATGTAGTCTGCAAAAGGGAATGTATGGTGATATCCCGGGAACCTGTACCCGGTTGCCGGATAGCTGTCACTGCACACTCGCGATGGACGGTCTAGATGAGAATCCTTGAGACTATGGTGGATTGATTTGCTACTAGAACCGGTTCCTCGTTCCCACTCATCAGCTGCTTTCGTCATCAATGTCCCGAATGAGGGAACATCACGCCGTTTCCGAGTAGATATTCGGGATCGCAGCCCCTTCTGAGACCCACTTTTCTCATGTTTTCTTGAAGATTCTTCCCTGCTTCCTTCTTGTGTTTTCTCTTTGTCCACTCCTCTTGCTGTTCAATATTTTTAATTCCAAGCGCTATTGTTGTGCAATTGCAATCGAGAAAATCGGTTGTGACTTCCGAGGCATAGTAGCAACCTTTCAATGAAATAATAGAGGCATGGCATTAACCATCTTCACTACAGATGCAAATACGGCCCTCCCCACTTTAGAACCGTAGCTATCCCCTATTATTATCTCTTTGTGGATATCCATATTCCGGACCGAACGGACCGGACGCAGTGGTTGCTGAGAGAATTAATAGACAAAACTAACCAGTTTTAATGATTTACTAGGCCTTTCCTACCATCATCAGAACATGTCCAACGTGTTGATCAAATACATTACAGCTCCCAAAATGCACAACCAAATAGAATTAAGTCCATCGTCCTTTGAAATCGAACGCCCACTAGTTATCTCGCGCACACTCTCGACACCCTCGACACCTTCGTTGATACCATCACATTCAGACGATGCTCCTCTATAGCAGCAACTTGGTCACCCCAATTACTCCTCAAAAGTGCTAATGAAGGACAAGTAGATTTCCTGAGCATCCTCCGTCTTCGCACCGCTGACTTGTACCGTCTCATCCTGAACTGCAATTGCTGCCGCATACCACGTGGGCCCTCCATGGGGCACATCGCCAGTCTCGATGCCAATGTTGCCAATCAAGTGTTTGGTGTCTCTCTGTGAGAGAAAGAGAAAGTCAGTCAGTCGACAGTCAATGAACGAAATACGGACAAGAACGGATCCCTTACGTTTTCTCCATCATGGGTGCCAATCCAGGCGACGGACCAAGTACCGGAAGTAGTGGTGATCGCGGAGTCGTCGTCGAGAATCAACCAGCCCTTGTCGCTGGAAACTCCTCCCTGGCCGTTGCCAAAGATTTGGGCGCAGTTGTCTGTCACGGTCCATTTGCCGTCGGCGTTCAGACAGCCGGTGAATTCGCTCTCGCCGGCGAGGCTAACCCGGATTACACCCGGTCCTCCTGGAGGATAGATGGTTTCTTTGCCAACAGCGGCAGAGGCCAAGGCAAGGGTCGAGGTAGTAAGGGCAAAAGTGAAACGCATGTTGGGAGTTTGAGTGGTATAAGTTGGATTTGGCTGCTAGACTGACACGAATGATGACTGCTGTCTGTTGAATAGTCCCAGGACAGGAGAAGCCCTCGGCGCTTTTATACTTGAGCTCTTGACTTTTTCGAGGCAGACGGTTACATTTGATCTGTTACATTGCTTCTCACACAGTCCAAGACCATGGCAAAGAGGGCCAGGTCACTCAAAGGGTGTTTCCGGCTGAAAGCTACGCTATGCGTATGTGAATCGGTCTCTCTTGCCATTTCTCCATCAATCAGAACCGATGACTATGAATCCCGTTGCAGAAAATAGTTGATTACTCGACAACATGGTTCGGCTCCAATTTCGATCCGTACGTGGCCTTATGGCGGTACTTCCCATGAGACTCACCGGGGTGAAAGCAGACCTAGAATTTTGCGAACGACGAAAATATTTCGAGGCTCCTCATAGCTTGTGTCTCATTTTCATGACGCAGTCAGCCCGGCTAGCGCGGTAACTAGATCCCTGGCGCATTCTGTTGGAGATTATGAATGGTCAAGTTCTTGGTACTTTATTAGATGCATAAATAAGCTAACTAAGCTATCCATATTAAGCTAAATGGATAGACCCCTGAATAAAAAACAAGAGTTTGACAGCGGTGATCCGGATCGACCGGTCCGAACGTGGCGATTTGGTAGACATGATCAGAGAGAAAGAATAGGTACGGTGTCAATGACTAGCGTTCGCATAGACTCGGTAACAAACATAACATGTATCTTCTTGGTATAAACGATTAGAACTTAATAGTTTTGCTGTAGGCGCGAGGCCCTATCAATTGATACAAAATAGCCCACCTTGATTCAGGTCCGCCTTGAGGCAAATCAATCAATCTCGACAGTTGTCCGACTAGGATACTCTCAAGTTCTTGTTGTAGCAAACACTTTACAAGTGTACAGTATATCCGCGGCCCATATCGTATTGCCACAATGGACAGGGGTTCCAGGATAGCACTGCTACGTTGCCCAGGGGTAGCACACAGGCCAGTCCAATCCATCTCGCCACTCAGCCCTACCCTTGATGTTTGCTTTGGTTCATACATATGCAAGGTAATATCTGAAGAGGGGTTCATCAATCATAATGGTATTCTGTTATCTTTGCGTCTGTTTGCCTTAAACATACTAACCAGCCTGGGTCCGATAAATTGTAGAACACTACTCCGTACGCTAGGTGTAATATGGTCATTCCGGTGATTCATGCCTTGCAATGGATTATTTCGAGATGTTCTAGATCGACTTGGGTCTTACACATCGGCAAACTCGGACCAAAATCGCAGAAAGAACTCTGAGGGGGGACATATGATGATTCTTCTCTGCAGTCAATCAGACCACATAGTGTTACTAGACAAGACTCCCCCAATTCCTCAAATCCTATTTTAACCGGTTTATCCGGAAAAACTCATCGGGCATAGCCAAGTTAGATTACGGGTTACCCAGAAAAGGTAGTATGGTGTTCGCAGACGGTCATCACGAAAGAACAACCGAGTGGTTTACAACTAATACGTATGTGTGCAGTCATATTCGGGAAGCGCGCTCTAGACCTTGAAATCCTATAGGATGCAGTCCAATAATGCGCATATTACAACCCTACTAGAGGTCCATCATCACGAACAACCACCAAAGTGTCAGTGTGATTTCTGACACGGATCTACACCTCGTCAACCGCATGTATCCCTTGAAATCGTCATATAGAAGCCTGGGCGCTAGCCCGACTTCCTACTGACTACGATACTGTTGCTGGGAAGACCTTGTTAGCTCCATTCTCCTACATAGAAGCGCCCCATCCCGATAAGGCGTTACTTGTGATAGCCCTTAGTCGAACAGAATACGCCTATCATTTCTCATCTATCTTCTATGATTCTAAGAAACTATTCATCAACAACCTGAACTTTTATGGCCTTCGCCTGCGGATTGCTCGCCGTATCAAATGCTTTGATCCCATCTTCCAGCGCAAATCGATGTGAGACCAACGGCTTCAAATCCACCATCCCCGTCGCCACCAGGCTAATCGCCTTCGGATAGATATCATGATACCGGTACTGGAATCTCAGATCAATCTCTTTGGCTGCCATATGCCCAAATGGTATGTTCTGGAAGTCTTTGCCCACTCCGATCACGAAAACGGTGCCTCCGAAGCGCGTTGCCTAGATTAACATCACTCATTAGCTCTCGTCTGTGGGTTATACCCGACCATCTCTGCCTTATTTGTGACTTCAAGAAAGCAAAGAGAGAAGAAGGAAGAAAGGGAAGGAAGAGCCTTACATAAATGCCCGCCTGCATACTGCTCTCTACCCCGGTGCACTCCATCACTAACTTCGCCTCCGTGCCCAACACCTGCACAATCCTCTCGCCCACGGCCTGCGCCGTCTCACCAATCTCAACCTTCACTGTCCTCACCCTACCTACTAATTCTTTCGCCTTCTGCAACCGATTCTCATCAACATCTGTAATAACAATCGGCTCCGCGCCCGCCGCATTTGCCGCCAACAGTGTCACCAGACCGATCGGCCCGGCGCCGCAGATCACGACTGGATCAGCAAGGCGCAAACCCGAGCGATCCACACCCGCCAACGCAACAGTGAGTGGCTCCAACAGTGCACCTTCTTCGAAAGATAGGTGTTCTGGGAGCTTGTGAAGCCAAGCTTCTGGGTGCGCGTGGTATCGGCGCAGAGTACCATGGTGAGGAGGGGTGGAGAAGAACACCACGTCTGGACAGGCGTTGTATTGACCGCTCCGACAGAAGGAGCAGGAAGCTTTGGAGCACGGAATGCCGCACTCGAGGGCCACTTTATCACCTGTCCATTTCGTATTGCGTAAATACAACATCCCAACAGTGGACGGAAACTACTCCGAGGAGTTCAGAGTAAAGTAGAAAACCAAACCTACCAAGTTTAAAGTTCTTCACCTCCTCGCCTACTTTCAGCACGACGCCTGCACTCTCGTGTCCGAGTCCATTGTCCCCCGTCACGATCATGGGTCCGATACGACCGTGTTTCCAGAAATGGACGTCGGAGCCACAAATGCCCGTGGCGCGGACGTGGATAAGACATTCATCTGGTTTGATAGAAGGGATCTCTGATTCCACGAGACGGAGGTCGTTCTTGGGGCTCGTGTGAATGGCGAGGTTCTGTGGTTTGCGGGTGGTGATGTCCATCTTGTCTTTTGGGTATAAGGAGCATAGGTTGTAGTGTAAAGATGATAGTTGAAAGAATAGGAGGTAAGGAGTCTAGCAGAACAAGGGATATCTGTACATATTTATAGATAATCATCTCCTCCGGTGTTGTTAATAATATGATGCCTTGGTTGAATGACTGCATGTTCTGAAGTTAGGGTTCACTATGTGGTCGCCAGCTCGTCGGAGATAGCTCCGAGTGGGGCTTTCCGTCTCGGCGATTTTTCCAGGAGATTATGCAGTATGACCAGACATCTGGAAGAGGCGGAGCTGGACTGCTGGAGTTATCGCCGAATCAATGTCATCTGGGCTTTGCGCGGATTGGCCTAAGGTCGGAGCTTTGACTCGGTACCTATCCGACTAGTTTCACTCTGATAGTTCAAGTAATACTCCAACATGTGTAGATTTCGCCATATACGCGGCCAGTTTACGATATTCCGAGATTTCAAAGTCCTGCACGTTGGGTTGAAAGCGCCACTGGGCCAGAGAATAACTTCTTTGATTTTACAGAGAGAAACGAATTCCGCCCACACCCATTACCAATGAATTATTGTATAATTTTCGTCTTGGAATTAACAATTATGCCGAACAAATAATGAAACTGGCCTTCACATTTTGTCTCCATTCTCAATTTTTATTTCTTTTCTTCTTGTTTTAGAGTAAAAAAAAAGAGGAAAAGCAAAAACATAAAACAGCAGGGATTCGCTGGTGGTCACCCACCCAACTACTAACCTGCCGGCGTGTGGCTTAAGTACGGCTGAGCGGACGGGAAGCCCTGTTCTCCACACCCTGTGGTCGTATGTACAAAATCCTACTCAGATATGGATCATAATGTGCAATAGTACCGTAGATTTATCATACAACAGCCTCGCTATCTTCAAAATTGTTAATTGATCACTGCCCATCATATCATATATCAGCACAAGGCAGGAGACAATTTTTTTTTTTTTTTTTTTTTTTTTTTTTAAAAAAAAAAAAAAAGGATTATCAAGTGCTTATAATGAAGCCGGCGGACCTTTCAATGGACGAGCTATTGGCTGATGTTCTCAAGTAGCCAAGAGGAAATTGCCATGCATCGAGAGTATTGATACATATATACATTCTAACACTTTACTATGGGCCATGGGCATTTCAACATGAAGATCATCAAGCTTAATTGCCAACCTTTCAATACTGGAATATACAAGGGATTATAAAGAAAAAGAAACTTTATTCTTATTCGAGACATTTCGTCCAAAATTTAAGAGATGGTAAGGAACACAGTTCCTTTTGCGGTACTGCATATTTCGGAACCAAACTATCATGATTTGAAGCCGATCGATGGCAGTCAATACAGACTTTGAATCCTCTTTTATTTTATTTTGAATTTTTGAACTCTTTAAAAAAAACAAAGTACTTTGATCTTATGTTGGTGTTCTAAGATATCGGTTATCGTCGTCCGTTGATTTCAATTCAACACCATCGGGCCCGAATCCTTGCCACTTGTTTACCACCTAATCACCTTGCAAGGAAAAAAAATCATCAATAAGCTCGATATAGTACGGCTGTCAAATCTGTAATTAGTCTTTTTGCGTAATTCAGGAAAATCAAGTGGAAAAGGAATTACGCACCTTCAGCTCTTTAATACTGGGAATTTCATCGCTCTTGCTGTATAGGTCGTACGGGTTGAAGGCCTGGACCGCACAAATCATCTTATGGTCATGATCATTCATCAACTCACGATTGACACCTGACATATGCCATGGATATAAGGAATGGTATCGAATCATGGCTAGGCCTTCGGAGGGCAAAGTTGATTGATCTTTCACGATATAGTAAAGATATTCGTCATGGCCCCACGAAAGCATAACATTCTCAAGTCCACATCCTGGGCTGTATATGCCGAATATTGTATCGTAAGTTGCATGAACATAGACTTTATTCTCGCTGAAAGAATCTCTGCCGTAGCAGACTCGCTCATCGTATGCGCATCCTACAGGAGACGTATCTCCGACAACATCCCACTGACCCTCAGCGTCAAAGTAAAACAGGAGCTTGCCCAGGTCATGAAAGAGGTCAACAAGCTGCATCCAGCGCAGCTTACCGTTGCGCCTGGCTGCCTCTGCTGACTGAAGGAGGTGTTCAATTTGGGAAAGATTGGTATCTGGATCTGACTCATCAATAAGAGTGATCAGCTTCTCTATAGCCTCCCAGATACCCATTTCAGCGCGAACCTTGCTATGGAATGCGTGTCTTGCTTTCAGGTTGTAAGCAACAGTTTTCTTTGAATGCTGCTCTTTGTAGAAGTCTCTGGCGTGATCGCTGGCGGATTCGAATTGGCGAAAAGCAACTTTGTCTTTCTCTTTATCAAACTCAGAGTCCTGGTCAAACCTGTTCGATAATTTCTGACGTTTCAGGTTGCTTTTGAGATTATTGACAATATAAACTGCATCGGAGATATTTTGCAACCTTTGCCCCTCATGGGGGTGAGTGAACGAAGGAACTCCCCTCTCAGACGTAATAGAAAATGGAGTCATAGTGATTGATGAAATAGGTGAATTGGTGGTGCGTTATCTGATTGGAAATCAAAAGTTTTTGAAGGCTTGCTTGGAAGAATTGTGATATTGAAAGTAGTCATTAAGATTATGATCTTTGTGCGGACGGAACAGCTGTATAAATAGGTACTACTTTGAGTATTTGGCAGCAGAATAATGTACCGGGGTACAAGTTTCCGAGATGGCTCACATACTCCAAAGCAACTGATCCTCCAATTACAGGAAAAGTATTTCCGATCCATGCTTAATTTGTCATGGAGACCATATAGCAGGTGTAAATTGCATTACTCAGAATCATCACCATATCTCTCGGGCATCGTGAACGACAAGACACCGGAAATTAACTTCCTTGGTTTTCTGGATTTACCATCCACTAAACGGCCTCGGGATCATATTCCTAACATCAATCTATCTTAGCTTGTAAAGAGTGTGGGATCACATAGATATCTTCAACTAGCGGGTTCTGGGACCCCATTGTCATCAACCAGATGGCCACTGATCGGAAGTATCACTTGAGTTGTAGGGTTTACTCATATCATGGATCCCACAGAAAGCCGAAGCAGATAGACAGTAGAAACTGTCATCAAAAGGACAAAATAGTCCTTTCGAAACAAGAACTAATAGATGTGTCAAATCGTTATGCGCACGATAGTCTCACATTGCGAAGCCGAAGAGCTCCTTTCTGCATGCCTCGGGTTACAGTATTCTCCAGTTCAGGCCTGGAGCTGGCATAGTCACTCATCGCGTTGATTTGGATTCTCAAAGCTTTCACATTAACTTTTCTATTCCGTACTTATTAGTATTGGTGATAAACCACAGTACCAAGATTCTATTTGTCACATAGGCGACGAAACTAATCTCCTATTTTTTAGCAGTACCTGTTCAACCTAATATCAATTAACAGAGCGACCGCTATTCTTACCATCCCACCATTACTGAACATGGACGAGCTTGGTGTGCCACAAATATTGATCACGATATGAATCACCACGGAAGCTCCGAGTGACATCGAAAATTCGAAGTAGAAGGCCTCATTGGCTTGACTCCAAACAAATAGAATATCAAGAGTGCGGACGGAACGTAGCGCAGATGAGCTTTTCCATTAGTCTGGGTAGATCACTTGAAGCTGAACCTGTATGCATCAAACATGCTTTTTAGGCAGTCAGGCCAGCAGAGAAATGATTCTTTAGAATCCCGTTACTCTCCGCAACTATGTAGACTGACAATATAGGAACAGGCTTAACTAGTTAACCCCAACTGATGAGTAACTAATACGTACTAGGATTACAGAACAATGAACTACCATCAAAATAAGTGCCTGGCAACTATCTTCATCTCCTTTCCTTGCAAGTCACTAAAAAACAATGATCAAGTGACTTATCCATTCTACGACCTCAACGAATCATATAAAAGTAAGCTGCGCTTCTGTTGCAGAAAACTAACTACCGTCTTAACTCTTGAGGAGAAAAAAAGGAGTTGTCACGGGTTTAAGTCACTACCGCCCTTACCAAAGACCAATTCAGGAACGAAACAAGTCTAAAACCTGTAGCTTGGCATTGAAATGGACTGCTAACCAGTGGTTGTGCCTGATAACCAATGGGTAACTCAAGGTAATGCCAATCAGGCCAGACAGTGCGCTGTGACCACAGTGCCCTTGTTTCTTCCGCTGAAAATGGGACAGTAGCCCAGAGACCTCATAAAAAGACCTCGGCACTGCATTGACATATGTGCTAAAGGGAAGATGAAGATTACATCCAGAAGATAAAGTCAGTTGAGTTGAAACGACTGCAGCCGGCATACGTGCCTCCGGAACCGACAAAGTCCACAAATCCATCCAGGTGACCGTCAGTTCGCTGCCAGAGCTCGGCACCTGTTCCATCGTAATGTGCTATCCAATTTCCATCTCGAGTGAACTGATCGGCACGAAAAGCGTCACGTTCAACAGCGATTTCTGTCGTCCTTTTTTCTACGAGGGCGAGGTCGACCCAGAGACTTGCCCAGGAATCGATCCGGGCGCCCGATCCACCGGCACGACCTCGGCACCGAGTGCGGACATCATGCGAGCTCGTTCGACCGAATTCCCTCGAGACATAACAGAAATGAAGGGGTAGCCCTTGACAGCACAGACGATCGACAGGCCCGTGCCCGTATTCCCGCTCGTGAGCTCAACCACCGTCTGTCCAGGCTTGATCGTACCGAGTCGCTCCGCCTCCTCGATGATACCGAGCGCAACACCATCTTTCTTCGAACCCCCGGGGTTGAGATAGTCAAGCTTGGCAACAATGGTTCCCTCGAGCCCCACGGACGTCGTTAAACGATCCAAACATACAAGCGGTGTGTTGCCGATGGCATCGGCCGCCGAGCCGAGAAGTGGGAGCATTTTCGAGGCGAGAGAAATATTATGGAAAATCTCGTATGATTGATGAAAATCTTGAATGTCATTGTGCGTTCAATTTGAAAAGTACGACGGAAAGGTTACAACAGACCGGTTAAACTTCTACACTCCGTTGCCGGAGAAAATTCGGGCTTCCGAGATAGAGATTGTATTCCCGATGTATGCTCCCTTTCCCGAGGTACTGATGCTACAAGCCTACAACGCGCCCCACCCGCCGCGCCCTTCGAGTCATGAAAAACTCGTCTCAGGGAAGATTTTCCGGAAACTGAGTCACTTAGCCTCCAGCTATGATCATCAGCGCGCGTGATTACCTTGGTGTTTGTGGTTTCTGAAGGATTGTACTATATCTGATAGGAATTCCCGGGCTAGGCACAGATAGATCCAGATCAAGTATATAGCATCCCTCCATTAGCGCAAATCACATCCCCGGTGACCCATCTCGATCTCTCCTCCGCCAAAAACGTAACAATATCCCCGATATCCTGAACAGTCCCGCACCTCTGTCCAGCAGGAACCTTCTTGTTCTGTTCCTCCATGCGCGCCAGATGAACCGGTCCCGCGGCCTGATACATATCTGTATCCACAGGGCCGGGGTTGACCGCGTTCACAGTAACGCCATATTTATGTCCCAGTTCGGTGGCCCAGACACGCGTAAGGCCCTCTACGGCCGCTTTGGTAGCCGCGTAGACGGACTGCGTAGCGTAGCCGCCCCGAGCCGAGATCGAGGACAAGTTGATGATTCGACCTCCACTAGTAGGCAGATAGGGTAGGATAGCTTGGGTCATGAAAACCACAGCGCGCACGTTGATGTCCATTAGTTGGGTGTAGTTGTCCTGGGTGACGTCCTCCAGGGGGCGGTTATCACCCGCGCCGGCGTTGTTGACGAGAATGTCGATTCTATTTGTTTGGAATGCGGAGACTGTGGCATCTATGATGGCCTTCGGCGATGTTGGGTCTGTCATGTCGGCTTGAATAGCGATGACGTCATTGTTGTTGCGGAGCTCGTTGACGAGGGCATCCGCGACGCTCTTGGAAGATGGGGAGACATAGTTGAAAGCCACCTGTCGGAGTTAGCCAGGCGATCGTATTAACTACGAGCATCGATCTTACCTTCGCTCCTTGCTTGCTGAGACAGCGCACAATTCCTGCTCCGATGCCTCTGGCACCGCCGGTGACGATGGCTACCTTTCCGTGCAACGACATTGTGATGACCCAAGGAGATGATATTTCCCAAAGAATGTAGATACAGATTGAGTGAAGTCAATTCTATTATCTGGGAAAAGAGAATGTAAATGTTATTGTTTCTGAGTTCTGCCCCTCGGTTTGACACAGCCGGCTCTCGGCTTAATGCCGTCGGGGATATCTCCGAGACCCACATTGATCCCTAATTGGTATACAGCATCACTCAACAGCTTGATGTTGAGACAAAGTATTTTGTTCTCTCTAACTTGATTGCTCTCATTATGTTTTCGATCACGACCAGCAAAACAAAGGGATTGTCTCGTCAAACTCAAAGCTCATGTTTCTAGTCTCCAGAAACTCCGGCCAATCGACCAGATCTTCGATCCTCGCAGTAAGACCGGTATGAGATAGGGTCTCCGTGAATAGCTCCTCGATGTCGCGTATCATTTTATCGTGATCCTTCGAAGCTGCATTTCAAACCCGAGCTATTTCCCCCAGTAAACCTCGGACCGGGCCGTAGGGGATGTTGGGCCGGCCAGTAGCGAACGCCGTGGGACGCTTCTCTATCAGGCACCCAGAGACCACATGTACGGTAAGGCTGGAGAAGATGTGTAGAGAGTCCCAGAATCCGAACTTCGCTGTCGAGCTATTAGAATGCTCAATATTTCGAAAGTTATCTCCACGACAGTGTCTGGCCAGAGGAAGGAACCTACCGATTTTATGACATTTCGAGAGGGCGAATTGGATGGCAGTACTATCAGCTGCGGCTTGCAAACACTGGGTATTTGCGCTTGCGAAGTAATTCCTAGGCATTAAGGTGTCTTGTTCGTGCACGAGGTCATGGAGTTGCTTCAACAACAATGGGCGAATAAGAAGTATGATACACTGATTCTTCAGTATGTCACATTTCAAGTGTTAGAAGGCGTTTCATACCTGATTATAGCGAAGCATCAGGGATGCGACCGTGTGCATCGCCGGAAAAACCAGAGTCTCATCTGAGAACCCTCCCTCTCCAGTGAAAATCAAGTTTTCGGAGAGCTGCAACTGTCCTGATGATGCGGTATTTGATACGGCAGAGCTTGACTTGGGCTGTGAGATACTGAGGGTCAGAGAACTGTTTAGCGTCTGCTGCGGATAATTGGGAGCTATCCGGAAATACAACCCCTTCTTCATGAAATGCATGGGCGAGCGCCAGTAATCATTCAATACAAGTCATTACATCCATATAAATGGTCGTCCACCAGACGCGTTTGCGATGTTCCTGTTCCAATGGACTCAGGCGTGTCTGTGGTTTCGAGAGCCTGAGAAGCTCGGCCAATCGAAGGGCCATCCCAGCGTATGCATAAGCTGTCTTTCTTCGATTGAGGGAGTAGCAGTAAAAAGTCTATGTCGAGTCAGATCCAATGCAATTGTGGCAACAACGCCGCAAAAAGCTTACAATGAGGTTAAGTGCTTCAACTTGGTCTATTGTCGGCTCCTCGTACGATGGTCGTAGAAGGAGCAGGGCTTGTTTAAAAATTTCGATTCCCAGAATTAGAGAATCGGTACTTGTTGAAGCAGCACCATCTGTAGAAATCCCAGTTCTGTTGTCAATCAAAAACGATGGGACGATGGTATCGTTATATGATTCTCCCAGGACCAAGACAACAGAAAAGCAGCAAAGCCATGTTCTTTCGATTCGCTGTGATCGTGATGGATCGTATACGGCATCTATTTGAGCACGAAATCGCTTCTTTTGGTACCAGTGATAATCGGACCCCATGAAAGATTCAAACTGGCCTATAAGGTAGAGTGCGTAAGAGTGCGGTGGAAGTTTAACGAGCACTTTTGGTCCTGCGAAAGTTAGGTGAAGAGGCGACCAGATGTCTTGGCTTGACATACGGAGGTTATCATTTTCCAGAGGAATGTAAGTGTAGTTGGATGCCTTGGGTTGGGCGTCACTCTCATGGAACCCGGTTTCATCAGGGGCCAATGTCGTGGGAAAAGGAGAGGGACTGGACATGTCTTGGTAGGGATTCGAGTATACGCCTTTGAGCCTGCGGACAAAATGTTCAGTTGTCGAGTTCTCAATAAGTCGCTCTGATCGTGTCTGTTCTTGAACTTCATTGCTTGACGGGGTTGTGGGTTGCCGGTGGCTGGCGTGAATCACAGCTACTTGGCTATCGCGACTCGTCTGCCGTAGCTGTGCGATTTCACTCTCTAGCCTTCGTACATAGCTCTCAGGGACGGTCATGTCCCGTTCTCGACCTGGAAAGATGCAAGTCTGCCGACTTGAAATGCACGTTGCGCATGGTTGTTCTGCTCCTCGGTCAATCAGAGCGTGTTGATCACGAATGGCGAAATGCATGCTTACCATCACTACATTTTACCTTCTGGCTGCGACAATACTGACAGGCGCTGACAGATCTGCCTTTAAAGCGAGGCATATCTCGAATCTTGGGCAAATTGAGCGCGCAAAGAACATGTCATCTCTGACGGAGTAACTTCCCCGTCTTTCTCCACATCGGCCGTATCCGATCACCTTACCCCTGTTCCCACCATCTATGCAGGGTGGCGGTATGTATTCTCCTTCATGCCGTTCTAAAAACTGAAGAACAAAACTAATATTATTGATATCATATATGCTACACCTCCACTGCTTCTAGAGGCCTCTAGTGTAAACTGGCTGTGGATGGGGAGAAATTCAACATTCACTCTCGCGCTCTTGGGAATGTCCTCTATCTTATGGCCAGCGTTACATGCAATCCCCAGTCACTACGTGAGGTAGAGGCATTGCTTGAGTCCTCGTTACTTTCAGTGCAATCAGTGTAACTTTGTATACGCTTGAAACCTCAAACTACATATGTCTGATTATGTTCGTATCTATTATTGTTTTAGCATCTGTGTGAGCCGGGCTGGTCTTAGTGCGAGACCTCAAGAACAATCTTTCCGAAATGTGATTCAGCGTCCATATACTTGAACGCTGCCTTGGCGTCCTCAAACTTAAACTTTTTGCAGACTATCGGGTGGATCTGATGCTTTTCAGCGAACTTAACCAGTTCCTCAAATCGGTCAGTTGGTCCATTTACGAATCCCTTGAGAGAAGGCATCGGCTGATTGTAAGAACATTGACATTGGGCTGCTCGCCAGCTGTCTGGTTCTTTCCGGACGTATAGCCGATACAGTTAATTAGGCCGCCGTAAGCAGCACAGGCAAAGCTCTTGCCGATAGTCTGCGAGCCGCCTGTCTCAAGGATGATGTCTGCGCCATGGCCATTGGTTACTTGCATGACGTCCTCGTCCCAATCGGGTCTTTCCTTGTAATTGATTCCGAAATCTGCGCCGAGCTCCTTCGCCCGGGCCAGCTTCTCATTCGAGGAAGACGTGATGATGACTGCTCGAGCATTAGCAACCATATGGTATACATGGTATAGCAATATCACTGCGGATAGTATACCTTTGGCACCGGATGCTTTCGCCAGCAGCAGCCCCATAATACTAACTCCTCCGGTACCCTGTAGCATAATATATTCATCCTTTCCGCCGTTCTGGCCTAAAGGCCGTGTGCCGTTGATGGCCATCCACGCTGTCACGCCAGCAATTGGCAGAGTGCACGCTTCTTCGTCACTCATTTTCTCGGGTGTCTTGATTAACATATCTTCCTTGAAAATACGATAGGTTGCCAGAATGCCTGACTCAGGTAGTCCAAGGCTGGACTCTACAATGAGACGCTGAAACTTCCTTTATGGGTTGAAGCAGCTTATCCAAGTCCCCAGTACACTCACATCGACAAACAGACAAGTCATCTGTAAGGTCGATTCTGAGTATATATATCAAGAAAGACTCTGCGTGATTCAAACTATACACTTTCGTTCTTGAAGGAGACATCGCGTATGTCTGAGAAGTGAAGGCTATCGCGTCACAAGTATATATATCCCTACTTAATAAACTTCTCAAATTTACAACAGATCGTTACTCAATTGAAGAACATCCCTAAAGGGGTTTGACCGAACCGTTGACTCCTATCAGGCGGTATAGAATTCTAATGCATGTTTAGCGGATATTGGCCTTGGCCTTGTTCTTATCGAGTCCGTCTAAAATCAGTTGAACCTCATCATCCGCCACTTCTAGAATATCTGTGGTGGGTATTGAGGCTTCTAGCTAATTCTGTAGCCATGGTCGGCTTTGAAGAGAGATCTTTAGTCACAGTCAGCAAGAATCAATTTCAATTGCATAAAAAAAGAATCACATACTTTCCACCCAAGAGCACCTGGACGGCTTTGGGTTCAACGCCAGTTCCCTCCGCCATTTTAGTCAAAGTCGGCTCGTCGGCTAACGTGACTTTGTCATCGTCGACAATACTTCGCTTGGCTAGGGCCTTAGCAAAGGCACCGTAAATATCGTTCCACTTAATGGGACCTGATGAAGCGAGGAAGTATTCATTCTTCCCATGCCCAATGTCTTCCCCGAGGATTTTGCGTAGGATTTCGAGATAGAGGGTTGCGGTATCCACAACATGACAAACAGGCCAGGTCTGCGACATATAAGAAGCATAATCCTTGATAGTTAGGTCATAGAATACATCGGCCTACCGGATCATCCGAGTCAACCGCGCAGACTCGTCGAGCACTTTGTGCCGCCTGCACAATCGACACGTCTTGGATAGAAGTCAGATTTCCAAAGCCCTCGCCACGTCCATAAACGAGACAAGGGGCGAAGATATAGCTTCGGACGCCGTGAGTTTCCGCGGTATCGATGATCAGAGGATTCGCTTTGACAGACTACCGAGGCATTAGCGCATATTCGAGGTCCTAACCCTAGTGACTATAACCATGGCTGATCCACAGGGAAGGGGCAAGGAGAGATACCTCATTCATAAAGTCGTGCGGCGCCTTCACGTTCTTCTGCAGATCGTATAGATTCGGGTTGGTATCCAGCAAAGGAGCGTCGGTCGGCATACCCGCATGACGACTGAATTGCTTGGCCCCGGTGGTGAGTAGGAAATGCACTTCCTGACCCGTCTTTCGCTTCACCTGGCCTAGAGCCTCGATCATCGCGGGTTGATGTGTGGCGGTGTACGCATCGATCAGGAAGTAGACGATGGTGATGTTCAGATACACAATCTTCTTTGCGAGGTCGTCGTAGTCATTGAGGTTGGCAACCAGCGGCTCGGCTCCGTAAGGCTTGACCTTCTCTCCCTGGTCCTCCGATCGTACCAGAACATACAGATGGGAGTACGGTGGGAGATTGGCACTCTTCCAGCGAGCCAGCACGGTACCTCAAGGTACCCCGAAGCGCCGGTGAGCTGGATGTTGTGCAATGCCATTAGGAACTTAGACTGTTGTGTTCAGTAGGAGTCTGATGCTGACTTGGTAGGAATATTATCTATGCCCTTCGAAATAACCAAAGCCAGTGCTGCCCGTGCAAGGCAGAGCGACCGAGCATTAGCGGACGCATTTTACTTAGCTGCTAGGAAGCGACTGGGTCTTCTGAGTGCATCATCGCTATTCTTTCTCCAGTGTACCTTCCTGTCAGGCATTTATGAGATGTACTGTTTGCGGCCTTTAGGTGCCTGGCATTTGTTCAACTCGGTGTGCACGGCAATGCACTTATATTTGCGGACACGACCGCCCGAAGTTGAGAATAGGGATTTGGAAGAGCGACTTTATCTGTCGGCGCTGAAATCTGAATTGTGAATCAACCCGAAAACTGTTTTAATGTGTCCTGGACTAACCGATGCGATAACATCCAGCGAAAGTCTGCATCGAATTAGACCTCGTTCCATCCGCCGTCCCAAATCCAGCCTTCGTCGCCGAATATCCCACTCCACCGGACGAGAATATCGAAGCCCCAGATGGTTTCTCACTGAAGGAGAGCTGGTACTACTATCTCTCGGAGATCTCCCAAAAGAGAATAATGGAGCAAATAGTGGACACCTTCTACTCCGAACCAAGCGACACCCACTTGCTCAACACGCGAATCGACACCCTCACTCGTATCGCCGGCGAGATTGAAGAACATCAGACTCTTGCAGCCTTCCATCTCCCATCTTGGCTTCAGAATTCGAAGGATGATACGGAGCAAAGGGAACTTCCCTACGTTATACATGGCCGTGCACTTCTTGTGAAGGAGTGTTTGTTTTGCCCATTCTTGTTCATTTTACTGCACTCTGCGTCTCTTCAGCTCCAAGTCGTATGGGACTTTGCCAACCGGTGTCTTAATACATGCTATGAGATTATTGAACACGTGAACACGCAGCACCGGCACCATGGAACCTAGTTATCTACACGTGCAGCTTTTCGATGCGGTCTGACCATTGTTGGGGCTGCGAAGAGCGGGAAAGTTAGTATGAGACCGGATTGGAGGGATGTTGCTGAAGTGGCATTGGACACGACAAACTTTTGGGGTCAAGAGGCTCCAGATCTTGAGAAATTAGCTGGTGTTTTTCGAAAGATTCTTGACGAAAAATCACGTTGAGAACGATGCACATACTGTGGAGAGGTCCTACTAGCTGATTGGCGGGCCCAGCGATTTGTGCTGGTGAGAAGATCTTCTATGTTCACTAAAAAGCACAGTCCGTACAATGAACTGTGTATCTGATGGAGAGTGATAGTTATGAATAACGTTCCCGAGAGCAGGAGACTACTGGGTGCACAGTAGTTTCTAGTCGATACGCCTTTTCCTTGGCCTAACAATTGTTCGAAACCAGAAATTCAACTAATATGGCTCTAGTTCGCCCGACAGTATAAAATAGCGTGCTTATTCTTCCACGTCGAATTCTGTTGTTTCGACCTTATAGACAGGCCTGACACAGTATTTTGTGGGGGAAGGTCTTGGATGCCTGAGGTGTAAGATGCCAAACATTCTACTGTTTCCCTACCGAGTACGAAGTATACAGGAAGGACACCTTTTCTGCATCATCAATGGGTGATTTTGCCTTCTAATGTCTTCTGTCTTGTTGGCAGATAGTGAGATAATGCCGAGAACCCAGCAGTTTGCGGGGACCTCGATCCATCCATCGACAACCTATGTTTGTCTATCATCGGCCGCTACGGCATAATCAGCCCAAGCTCAACCCAATCCTGCTTCAAGAGTGGGGCTTGTGCTTATCAGCATTGCAAGCTGAACGAGGACAGCCGTAGCGGCCGATTATGGTAATCAACAATCCTTCCAAACCTCATTCACTTATGCGGGGAAGCGCTATCCAAGATAAATTTAGTAGAGCGCCAGGCTTAATCCAAGATCCGAACCAACCGGAAGATAACAGATATCGGAGGCCAGGGGGCAGATAACAGTGTTCTTGGGGATAATAGTAAAGGTATAAATATGCAGCACACTTCTTATCATTCAGAGTGCTAGTCAATTGATCGTTGAGTAAGAACCCCCCCATCATGACAGACAACAAGAAGGGACAACCCCAAATCCCCGAGATGACCCCGGAGGAGAAGCTCGAATGGGGCTCAGTGGTTGCCATTCGGGCGATTCCTCCTACACTTCAGGGCACTACAGATGAACAGCGAGTAGTAATGGAAAAGGCTTTGGTCAGAAAGCTCGACCTTCGGCTCATGCCAATGCTAGCCTTGATCTATATCATGAATTATTTAGACAGGTGCCTTCCCTCAAATTTCCATGAGGTGCTATTGCACAATAATGTCACCAGAAATGCGATCGCAGCAGCTAAACTAAGCGGTATCACGGAGGAGCTCAACTTGACGTCCGTTCAATTCCAGGTATGTTAGCTTCCATTGTTCTCCCCACAAAGTCTTGTAGTGTGTCTCCTAATGTTATAACTACGTACAGGTATATGTGCCAGACTGGATTAGATAGCGGATCAATCGCCTATATTCCCTGAGACGCGAGACCGAAATAAGCATTTATGGGTTTGCATTAGAGCTATCCAGCCGCTACTACAGCGAGCCGCCACCTACTGGTGATTCAGTAGATGTTGACGTTGAAGGATCTGATCATTCAAATCGCTACTCTTTCAATCGGATCTAGGTATAGGCACAAATGAATGTGACTTGATACTTATAATGTTAATGATTATTTTTTGCTTTCATACAAATACGGTATAAGATATAACGATATTGAATTGGACTAGTGAAAGATCTCTTGTATCTTTCTTGAAACCGTTGTACCTTACCTGCCGACATTGAGTGTTTCCACAGCGGGACTGTTGCTGGTTGGCTCGGACTGCCGAGCCAACCGATGCCACAATCTAACCGATACTCGGACCCCTTTCTCCGCGAATATCCGACAATGACAGCTGAAGAAATTGCATGATATGACATCTCCGCATCCGAAGCAGCTTCCCGTTATTCAATCATCACCACTCGAGTTTCCCAACTTTTACCACTTAAGCTTCATTCGAGATGTTCCTGAATTATGCTTTGGTGGATGTTTTCACAAACACCCCATTCCTAGGAAATCCACTGGCTATTGTGCGTGTGCCCGCAAGCTATAAATCCTCTTTATCTCAAGAAATCAAACAAAAAATTGCTGTGGAGTTTAATCTCTCGGAAACAATTTTCCTGCATGAGCCATCCGAAGATAGCCAGACCCCTGTCGAGTCTCTCACCATCGATACATTCACACCAAAATGTGAGATTCCATTCGCGGGCCATCCCACGATTGGAACCGCCGCCTATGTCTTTCAGAACTATCCAGCCGCTCTCTCTGCAAGTCTGAAAGACTTGGTGACCAAAGCGGGCCATATCCCCGTTTCGCAGGACGCAACAACCGGTCTTGTGAGCGCACACATTCCAGTTGATATCCACATAAACCAAGCACGGGTTCCTTCCAATCTCTCCTTTGTCTCTGATGCCTCGCCCGCCGTGTCTGTTGTGAAGGGCCTCTCATTCGTCCTAGCCGCCGTCCGGGATGTCGAGTCTCTAGGCAAGATCTCCAGCGGATTGATTGAGGATTGCGTCAACCCACCATTTCTAGATGAGGGATGGAATGTTGGCTTGATCGGGACGAAATACTATGTCGACCTGGGAAAGGATGATCAAGGTTGCAGACAGCTTAGAACAAGGATGTTCATCACCTGGGAAGACCCTGGAACCGGCAGCGCGTCGTCTACATTAGCCTGCTTTTTGGCATTGAAAGAGCCAAAGGAGGTGGGCAGCGGACCTTTTCACTATCATATTGTTCAAGGAGTGGAGCTGGGGCGAAGAAACGATATCTACGTCCGGGTAGTTCGGAGTGAGGATGGGGAGAAGATTGCAGAGGTTTTGCTTCAGGGCGAGGCTGTCTCGATCGGCGATGGGCGAATTACAGTCCCGGGTCAGGGTATATAATACATCAAGGATTCCCTAAATGATTCATTGATTCAGCCAGGTGACTTTCCATTCAGATACTTTCAGTTTGGTACTAAGGCTGTTAGTTATCTATAAAACCCTTCATAACAAGTCTATTACGGTCCATCGGATTATGCAAATTCATGATTCAAAAGGTCTTAAATTTTTAAATATTTTTTCTGGCCAAAAGTTCAGTATTGTTTCTAGTAAATAGAGACTCTATTTCTACTTATCAAAACTGGAATCGATTATAATATATTACAAACTCACCCTATACTATGATGTATCAACAAAGAGAGATAGCACATAATCAGTAGCTATGTTTATGAGAGAAAAATGAAAAACGAAAGCTGAAATAAAGAATAGATATAGATTGTCTATTGCAGGATATAATATTACCAAGTTAAATTGACGCCGAAGAGAGTGGAGAGTAATATAGAAAAATAATCGGACAGAAATATACATTGATACTTTATACAACCGCGATCTCTAATCGTTAGAAACAACTATTCCATAGAAGATAACTATGAGAAGGTTATATGATCCAAGAGCGATAACGAAAGAAAGACATCAAATCCGATTTAACCAAAGATATCACCCATTCCATAGTCCATACCTCAATCTTCTCTAACAACACATCTTAGGAGTGGATGAGCTTCAGGTCGCCGGCTGGGAAGTCGGCATAACCGCCGACTTTCCCGTTGCTCTGGCACGTCTGCTGTATCTCGTTCAGGAGGGAAGCAACCATTCCAGGATGCATGCCCGAGCACTGGCCGCCAGGACAGGTGCCGGGTCCGGTGTTCTGTAGGCAGCGAAAGTCACCGCCACAATTGGCCCCGCAGATCTGGAAGGCGGCGCTATTTCCGTTGGAGTATTGGCGCCAGATAGGGCTGCAGTCGTTGCCGCCGCTACCTACAACACAGAAAGTCTTGGTAGCCTCCTCGGCCTTAAGGTTGTTGATCATCTCGGTGACGTCGCCGGAAGAAGGGTTACCATCCGAGGTCTCGCAGCGAATAACCCACTTATCGGTTTGCGCGACAGCACTGAGGGCAAGAGAGAGTAGTACTATGGCCTTCATCATGGTGACGATGTTGTTCAAGGGCAGTAGTGTAGCTCTTTTGGTTGCTTTTTTCGGGGGAGGAAAGAGGTTTTCCAAAAGTAGTATTGAAAACCAGTAGAAATATTTGAGTGATGTGTCAAAATTGCGGTCTGTTTCGTGAACTGGATGTCCTCTTTATACTGTTTGGTTCTCGGTTCTGATCCGAGAAGAAACTTTGAAGGATTTCATCCTGAATCCTGGGAGGAACTAGTTCCATGGACTCTGCCAAGGTCCACTCTAAACCCTGAAATGATCGGCATGTATAGAGCAACTCTGTCATACTGTTCGCAGTTGTCCGACAGCATCTGACGGCTGGCATGGCAATTGTGATCGTCGTTTTCGCTCAACCTCAACTATGAATGAGCTCGTCCAGTTCGTTCCGTCAATATGAGGTAGCTCAGAGGGTCGGATCCGGATATGTAAGTGAAACAATTCCGCTACTATGGTTTTTTTTTTTGACGGCACAAGTTTTTTGGGGGCTTTCCAGCCTAAAATAGGAGAGATCACGGGCAAGAGGCAGTCGGTCCGCGGTGGGTAAGCTGGCACAGTGAACCCTCGCTATGCCGATCCCGGGCTACCTACCCCTTTAAAGCGAATTCTTGGACTGCCACAACCATTTCACCTCCTCAATTCGTTAAACCCCAGCCATATCGAAATCTATAACGATCTTTCAGTCTCGCAAAAGTAAGGTGATTTATTTCTTCTTTTGTGATTATTACACTTGGACAGGCTGTTGCAAATATCTTCTTTTCGTTGTGGTGCAGATATAAATCCAGTCAAAATATCTATCCCAGCACTGTATATACTCATATCACCTTCTCATTCAACGATACTTGCCGACCAACACCGTCGCCTGACATCAAGCCCTCAAGGTAGCTTCTATAGCATTATCCAGACGGGTTCCTGCAGGAAAAACATGGACCTCTTCTTTTCCTTTCCTTTTTGAATCTCGGGAATGCCATGAGTTGATGAGTATAACATATGTTAGGGCTTTGAACGTGATTTCAACGGAGCGCGGATGGGCCCTGTCTGAAGCTATGGTCTACAATTATGGTGACGAATCTTCCGTCATGGCCAAGATAGACTATTTCTGTACTTTTCTGATAGTGCGAGGCACTGATTTGACTTGAGCCTTGGGCCGCCCATAGACCATAGGTACCTTAACATGCCCATTTACCATTAGCCCCCAGATTTACATTGTTTATATGCTTTTTTTATGTCACTAGCGGTATATGCTGATGCTCTAAACGTTCCCTTTCAACTAGGGCAAATTACCAAATAAATTCCTGCTTAATCTACTCTCGGTCTAAAAATCTATATTTTTGTGCATAGAAAGTTGTCTATGCCCTGGCATACACTAACTGTCACATTGAAAATCATTAAATCTTAACGAATTTGGAATAGAAATTGATTGCTACTATCAATTACAAATATTTTGAGGAAATGGGCCGGTCTGGCCCACTCCAAGGTACTCCACGCGGCTTCGTTCTTTCTTAGGATCTATGGATATCACGTGGGATCACATTTGGAAAATACGAAGAGACGGAAAGCCTGCTGTGCGTGTCTACTAGTAAGAAGTGGATTTATGAACAAAATTGCGCATTCTTGGCAATAGAAAATACCTCATCGCAAGTCTATCTAGACACGTTCAATTGGACACTAAAATTGTTAGTTATCTATCAAAAGTTTTATCACAAGTCTATTACGGTCCATGAAATCTAACTAGGGCCGAAGTTTCCACGCAGTAATCCTTTTGAATTTCACACAGTTAACACATTCATTCATTACTTGTAGCGCATTCTGACTCGCAAGGCGACATTAATAATATCCGTCACTAGGTCACCAACCAAGGGGCACTAATGCCATATTCTTACTCTTACCGTTGAACCCTGAAGACTGAGACAACCGAACGCGATTCTTCCCTTCCAAATCCACCCTTGTTCTCCAATATGGAGTTAGCTTTCTATCATATACATCCCACAGCCTCGGCAAGTAGTGGACATCTTCCACACAGTAGCGAACAATTTCTTTGCGCAGTGGTCGCTCATTGAAAACCTCATAGCTCCCTCCGCGCTCTGGGGCGAACAGCTTTATTCCTTTTTCTTTCGAAGCGACCCACGCCTTGCGTTCAACCTCCGACATGAACAAATCATGTTCGACGCATTTCTTCAGCCCGGAAACGAACTTGCTTCTCCTAGGGCGTGTTGCAAGCTCCATCAATTGCAAATCTTGCACTCCGGCGAGCTTGACGTTGTAGTGGTGATTAAGAGCGTCGGAATCGTGACGAACGTCAAATATAACCTTCGGGATCTCAGGTGCCTCTAGTATGTTACGGAGGGTCTTGCCACTAGCTCCCTTCTTAGAAAATGCCTGGTCTTTGAGAGTGTAGACATCGATGAGATAGGTGTAGTTAAGCGGTCTGATGTATATCTGCATTATAGATATACTGCCAGTGCGACCCAGGTCGACGCCTTCCAAGTCGATGAAAAGAGATGGGGGCGACACTGGCAGGTTTCGGCATTTCTCAACGACTTTAGCCATTTCTGTGGTTGTATCAACAAAGTCGAAGGCGTTCTTCTCTTTTTTCTCAGAAATACTCGTCTTCTGCAAGCGCTCCGTAAGCCTGAGAGGCTTCTCGAGAGATAAGGACTGGTTAGGATTGGCTATTTTGCCTCCTGCGTGATTTGCGTCTTGCTTCGATGAAGTGGTCTCCTGAATACTTGTCTTTTCCAGAGACTCTGCAAGTTTGACCATCTCAGCGATAGGTGTTTGAAACTTGGCCATCGTCCCCCTAGTCTCAGGTTCATTTTTTTTCTTTGGGTTGTCGGCCATAATTCGTAGAATCCCTGGCAGGTCAGCACTTCCATGTCGACTATATTAGGTATTTATACATACAAGATACACGAGGTCAAAGCTGGCGTGGTTTCAAGAAGTGTGTAGTATAGAGAAGTAAAGGAAGAAAAGGCCTTGTAGGAATAATAATTTGGCCAAACGCCCTGCGTTCATGACATCGACATTACTCACTTCCAGGTGCTCTAGACGTGCTGCCCGGAAGAATGAGAGTCAATAATATACTGCTTGATGTATACATGATGCATCTATGATGAGATAATAATAAACAATCAACGGTCTAATCTTCCGCAGTGGTAGTAGTAGTAGTATTATTATTTAACATCCAACGGACCAAGGTGCTCTGAGGGGGAGACCCGGCCCTGATGACCTCCTATGGGGCACTGGGGATGTTTTTAAGCTCAAACTATATATATAAATAGGGTATACAATTCCAGAGGTTAATTTCGTTACAGCTTATATATTATGCAAGCGTCAGGTTTCGACCAAGTCCTTGAGAATTCTCAGTTAGCTCCCCTCAAACTTACTAACCGAAGATTGTCCGGGTGACGTTTTACCACTACGCCACCCCGCCGGCGTGTATTCAACGAGCCTATGGATCAGCGTATGTGACTAGTAAGGTTTTGCAATCCGCAATGATATGTCAAGATGACAAGAGATGACTGTGACTATGCTCTCTTGTTGTAGCTGATATACATCGGATGGCTGATTTCAATATTCATTTTTGTTGCTCTAGCTCGCTCCATTATATTCTCTTATGTAATGTATTCAAGCACATACGACCACAGGGTGTGGAGAACAGGGCTTCCCGTCCGCTCAGCCGTACTTAAGCCACACGCCGGCAGGTTAGTAGTTGGGTGGGTGACCACCAGCGAATCCCTGCTGTTGTATGTTTTTGCTTTCTTTTTTTCTTTTTGACTCTGTCTGTTGTTGAGTTTTAGCGAGCTCCCCTAATCATCAGGCCGACTTTGGGTACTGCGCTATAAAGTTACCTCGTAGTTGGCCTGCGATCCGACGCGGGAACTACCTTGGCGTTCTTGTACCTCGCCTGGCGCGATGGTTGCTGACCAACTGATTGGTCTAATCGGCTGTTCTCGCACTGGCCCATTATCGGGGCTTCTAATAGTGTTTATTTCTGTGCTTAGTTCCCAGTGCGGCTAAGATTTGGAGCTTCCGTTAGTCAGCGAACACGTTGTGCCTCGGGTCCATGAAGGAACAGATAATTGCCCGGTCGTCTCTCCAAATCCTGCAGAAGGGACTCGAGAGCTCATACAAGTTAACTTGTCCCTTCCAACGGCGTGAAAACTTGAAGCCTGGTTCTGATTAGGTTAGGTGCACAAACCATTGGGGGCAAAGCCTTCCAGCAGTGCATCGGTGCACCTACCGGCACAAAAGGTCACCAGTGCCCTGGTCGAGAAGCCGGGTTGCAGCCCTGTGGCCGTGTACGTGCATGAGTATATGAAAGCGACAATGCTTCGATGGGGCATAGCCTCTCCCCCAACCCCCCACGGCTCCACCTCCGGTTCGAGTTTGAGGATATCTGATAGAGGGGGTTAAGGAGAGACCTGGCACATCGGTACTCCTCAGGGTCATGGAATATCGCAGCCTGCAAGGTATCTGGTGTAATACCAGAAAGGCTTTGTGGTCCTTGGTGGACAAATGGACGGTACCTCAATTATACCGCTCCGTGGCTATAGGAGACAGAGGCGCTCTAGTTCTATACTGCCAACCTGGACTAACTGCTGCCTGCCACAATAATGTGGCGCAGGTGTACAATTAAACCTGGACAAGGTTCTGTGCAATGTCTTCCACATATAGAACCCGATGTGGCTTGGGAACGATTGGCGGAGAACTTAGGAAGCTAATGGCGCTGGGCGGTGCAACAGGAGGGGGGTTCACAAAATGAGGAGTCGTAAGCGCTAGTTGGCAGCTAAGACACTTTGACAGTGCTCTTTTCTTGACAGTCACATGTCATTGCGCGATTACGTTTGCTTCGAGACTACGCCGCAAGGGTTACCGGCATGCGAACGATACCCGTGCATCGGAGCTACGACATCCCTCAATCCTCAACGCTTTGGCTATGGGTTTTTACAGCTTGTACACCTAAATGAAAACGCTTTATTATGCTGCTGTAGAGGGCATAAGCCATGATAGGTGAAAAGGCGGCTGTTCTAGAGATCCGAACATTGGATGTAAGGTGGCAGGTCATCCTTGGTGAAGCCACAGAATTTTGATTAATCCACCTCTATCCGCTCGACGTAATTTTACTAAATGCCTGCGTCAGCTCGATCCAGGGTAGTGACTTTGGCGCTTCTAGGGCACCCCCTAGCGCTATTCTCGTCACGAGGCTGCGGCGCAGTCAAGATGCATATTACCGAGGCGAGATCGTCGCTCTAGGGGAAGTAGACCGACTGGCATTAGTCGCCCAATGAGACAGAAGTGCGGGCCTGGAGAATCCTTACGGAGCAGTTAAGGCGTTATCTTAGGCGAACCCCCGACGAGGCTGGGGGGCTAGGTTTCACTATACTGCTCAAACCCATAAGTTAGACAAGTTCCCTTCGGTGACTGCCCTAATTCAGCAACACAGTGCTGAGGATGGCAGCAATGGATGACACTTCCTTTTCCTCTTCGCCCGATACCTTCTCACCAAAATCGACTCCTCCATCATCACCAGACATCAGTCATGGCACTCCTACCAGGAAGCCAGACATTCTCTTCGGAACATCAGTCTCCCTAGTTCCGTCTCTCTATCATCCCCACCGTCTGAAACTTGAAGATACGCCTGATTCCAGTGATTTGTGCGCTGGCTCAACGGATAGCGTAGGGTTTATTACTGCGCCCTCAAGCCCTTCGAGTGATGACTGTTCAAAACTACGTGGTCAGAAGCATGGATTCGATTATACGGAAACCAGACATCCCATTCACGCATTGCGTAATATAGCCCGACGCTCCATCAGTCTGGGGCAGGTCACTTTAGATCCCAGCCGCATGGGAGCAGCACAACATGGAAAGCCGAGATCCTGGAGCCTGAGTGAACTAGGGTCAGGGCACCAGGAACGTTTCATGGACTTTGAGCTCGGCGATAGCTCGTCCTCAACCAGATATACGCCAGATACTGAGCCCTCCCTCTCATGCCTTTCACCAAATGAGACTGATGATACAAGAGATCGTCCTTCCTCAGACTTGCACTGCGTCGAAGCTAAGAACACAGAAAGCCTCCCGTTCGAGTTCGATACTTCGGCGGTGTCTTTCGAGACACCATCTAGGAAGGATGAAGCAGAACTAAGGCTGTTGGACGCACATGGCAAAGATGGACCGAGACGACATACTCTCGGTTTTAATCCCAGGCGACTGATGAATTCCCCTCGGGGAAGACCTCCTACTCGTGTTCGCAATAGTATCCCACTAATTATTTCAGATACCCCTGGGGTACACGACGTCAAAGACACCGGATTCAATCACGCCGGTGCCACTCAACTAGAGATCAATTCGTTCCAGTCAAGATCGAGCCATACTGTTCGATATCAGTTGAATACGAGGCCTGAGATAAATTTTCTATTAGCTAATGAGCCACACCACGCGACTGCACAACTTCGTGACGCGTCGGAAAAACGCATCCGGCAATTCAGATATACTGAGAAGTCTCTCGCGTTCATCCTTCCCCGCGAGACAGGACAGTTATTTCGTGACAACATGTCAAAATGCGCAGCGTTCAAACGAACACGGGACAACGGGAGATGCAGCAGAAACCACAAAGGAGGACCTCATGAGGTCTCTATGCAGCTTCGCCGGTTCGTCAGTACCGATATCGGTAATGCAAGCTTATGCATCAACGATTTGGTGAACTCAATCCTGTGCTCCCAGCACGCGAGTCTCGCAGGTAAAGACTGGGGGTGCTGGAGGAGCATCCTCCCGGAGCTAAAACCTGCCCCAGACAACGTCGAGGATCCCCGTCTTCCTCTATTTTACGTCTGGATTCAGGAGCTCCAAGACGGTGTCAAATCCTTAGGTCCATTTGCAAGACCTGAGATCAAGGCTGAGGATGGCCAAGCTGATACCCCTGTCAATCCAAAAGCCACGATCCAGAAACTGGTACCTTATTGCCCATCAGCACAAGAGGGGAGGGCAATTGAGCAGATTCTCCGTAAAATTTGCACTTCTACTTCATCAAAGACGCTAGACCAGAATGCTGGCTTCATTTATATCTACTGGTCTCCAGAGGGCTTTGGTCGCATGAAGATAGGATATACAAAGGATATCAACAAGCGATTGAAGGAATGGGAGAGAACGTGTAAAAGAAAGCTCTATCTTCATTTTCCGAAAGAGGCCGAGAAAGGACGTCCATTACAACACGTCACCCGCGTGGAAAAATTGATCCATGCTGAACTGAGAGATTATCGCCGAAAGGAACCCAGATGCTTGGAATGCAACAGGGGACACGTTGAGTGGTTTGAGGGGCTGAGCGTGAGTTTAGCGGTAGAAATTGCAAGGAAATGGATAGATTGGATGCAGTTGAAGCCTTATGTACTGCGAGACTGTAATGGAAAGGCTGAATGGACGTTAAGTGATGAAGCTTTGGAGTCACTTGGGGATGTGTGCAAGCCTCACGATATGCTCAGAAGTGAGTTTTGTTCAACGAAGAGTTGATACTGGGTACAGGTGTTGTATATTTCCTGTGGTTTCCATAGGATGTTAGACAATGGTCAGATTTTATTTCTAAGTCGGATGTCAACCCATTCACGTGAAACTGGAAGTCGCCTCGGGCTATATTTATAGTACTCTATTGGTCTCTTTTTTTTTTTTTTTCTTCTTTTTCTTTTTTCTTTTTTTCTCTTTTTGGTGCTCGCTATAAAATTGTCCCCTGGCTGCCCAGGTAGCAGCTATTGCAAAAGATCATCTCATACCTATCAACAGTGTAAACTGGACTATAAATATATCATTTCACGGCCGTGGTCTCCTGTGGGAGGCGCACAATGGCAGCTAGTAGCCCCTGAAATGGATAGTGACCACCACTCGGTTCTTGAGACAGAGGGCGTGATTATATCTATTAGCGCTAGAGGATTAAAATGATCAAAATAATGAAGAATCTACCTAATATTATTTTCTTGCCTCATGTATAGTATTTTTTTTAACGTATCACATGGCTTTTGCCCATAATATAACGAGACATGAAGGTGCGGGAAAGGGCTGCCGCACTCCTATCTGGCAGTTCCCTGAACGAGTAAATCCCGATGATTTATTTTTTTATTGGGCACACGTAGGTCGCTGTGTAGCGATGGACCGACGCAAAAGTAGCTTGCTAATTTAGAAAGGATACAGCACGAAATATAACCGATCTTCTTAAGTTTACATAAGGATTATATATACCCCCTCCAAGATGCTACACCGCAATTTAACCAGTCATTATTGGTCCTCGGAAGCTAGATAGGTCGTTAAAGGTTATACTATAGATGGTATCCTTTTCAGTATAGACAGCACTTGAGCAGCAACGTATTCATTACATATACTCAAAGCTTAAACATACAAAATAAATAATACATAGATCCAAGCAGGCAGCAAATCTACAAAAAAATATCAAACGGCATAAAGGTAACGAGACGGTGTCACCAGACTTAAAAAAGAAGAAAACCCAAATCAATCAAAAGAGCTTAATGTCCCCAAGAATATCTGCCAATTCATTCTTATCCACCTTAGTTTCATTCGGCATGACCTCCGCTGGAGAGTCAGGATATGCGCCGGGGGGTTCCCTAGGAAAGAGGACGCGGCCTTTAGGTGTTGGCATACTCTCGACGGGGGTCAAGAAGTCATCGGGCGATACGGACGGAGGTGCCGCCGATGATGCTGCCGGTATGATCAAACGCTGTCCCAGGATTGGCTTTCCGTTTCGTGAGCGTTCAATTGGGGTTGGGGTGGGTGGATTGCTAAAGTCATCATCGGGCGTCCCAGGCGCAGAACTTGAAGGAGAAAGTTCGGGTACCGATTCCGCATCGTCGTCGAGGTTGAGACGGTTGAAGCTCTCTCCAGTCACGATAGCCTTGTCGACAACGGACATGCTCGGAGTCTGTTCCCACAGCCCTGGTCTCAATGACAAATACTTTTGGTTGCGGTCTGAGCCTTTGGGATATCGAAAGGTATGACCTTCATCTTGCTTGTCATAGCAGCCTCGAAAGGAGGAGTGAGAATAAGGCATGAACCGGGAATATTCGATACTGCATACCTGCAATTGCAGGAGCAACGAGATGTGAAGATAACCTGGTGACGCAATGTCTATCAAGGTTTGTTTTTTAAGCGCTTTTGGCAGCGTGCCCTTTCGGAGCCATGATCTTGACGTAATAGCTTTTTTAAGTGCTCGGAAGCCGTTATTGCCGACCGCCTTGTGGTTTTTGTTTATGATCAGCTACTTGGTCCATCACTCCATGCAACGGCGCGCTTGGCAGGACAACATAGCCACGATACCCGAGCGGAAATGTACTTTTGTTACGCGAGCGCAGAGTGCGAAACGTCATTTTCGCCATGCAGATCTGAAACAGATTTTGAGATCTATTGAACTATCAATTCCTTGAGATATGTTTGGTCTTTGTGAATTATGCCTGTCCTGCGATCCCGGTTCATTCCATAAATATTGTCTCTATGATATGGCATGTACAGTATCAGTAGCAGCCTGGAATGACAGTTAGAAAACACCTGAGCCTTGTCTTCTTCATGGGTACGATATAGCCGGAATTCTGGACTGTGTTTCCTTTCCTGTATGATATGAAAGCGTTCGGGTGGATGGGGTGTGATGCAAGACGCTAATGTTTGTGGAAGTGTGTATAATATAACCGACCCCTACGCCAAGGCATCGACCCCCGGATATTATGCTAGTAGCTATATGCTAATGTTCCTATTTCTTTATTATAAGTGTATATACTTCCAAGGTCATGGTAGTAGGAAGTCAAGTCATGTCCGTTCGTCCGACTTCAATCAACGTGCATCGCTCGTCCAACCATATCCTCGAAATCACTGCCTAGTAGATTCACTGGACCCATCAGGCGGGAACTTGGCATTATGGGTCGGATAGCATCTGGATCAATCACAGATACGGATCTTGCCAACTCGATCCCTCCAGAGGTATGATATGCATTGTACATGTCCTAGTATTTGGTACGTATGAAGTTAGATTCTACATAGAGGCCTGCAGCAATCAATGGTGATAATGATGGTGATGATTTTGGACTTGTTGCTCAAGCCACTACTCGTCGATTGTACGTCATTAGACCATGAGTTATGAAAGAGGTTTTAAAGATCGCCGCCTCCTTAACCTAGTAGTATCATTTTGGCCCTATTCCGGCAGAGTTCTACAGTACATACCGTAAATGTTGGTTACATAAAATAAACACCTAATAAGCTTTTGATTCTCCGGCGTACGTCAGTTTTGGCTGCAGCTGCGAGCCTCGTGATTGGCTGAGCGGCCAGCTCCCGCGGCCCTACTGAGCTTAATTCAATCCCCTTTATCGCGGCCCTCTTGGCCGCCTCGTCAGCTCGTTCATTCCCTTCTATACCGATATGCGCAGGGATCCAGCGCAGCTCTATATCTTCCTGCTGCATGCTGCTGCCTCTCAGGGTCCTGATCCTCTCGTAGATAGCCCGTAGTACGTACTGGCCTGATGGTCGGCCAGGGTTCTGCACGGCTTGAATGGCCGCCTGGCTGTCTGAAAAGACCGTGATCGGGGCAGCCTCTGCCCATTTTAGGGCCATTTGGATCCCCTATAGCTCTCCCAGGTACACAGTGGGGTCAGCCGCGGCTCCTAGGTATTTCTTGCGGACCTTTCCGGCCCGAATCGAGACTGCAGCGCCCCCTACGTGGCCGTTAAAGCTGTTACCGTCAGAGTACCAGATCTGCCTCCGGCTTTCCTGGCAGATCCTGTCGTGTTCCTGGACTGCGCTGTCCGCTCCCTCGATCACGCAGTTAAGTGGGGACTCCCACGGGGCGAGTACGTGCGCCTTTCTGGACTCCCACGTAGTTAAACTTCGGCTTCCGGTCCATAGGGGGCCCCCCTTCTTCCACCTCAGCGCCTCTATGGGGGACTACCCTGACCATTTTATCTCCGCTGAGCTCCTCTTCTTGACTAATCCCTGGGGACAGGCCATAGCCGGTCCGGTCTGTATCCGGATTGTAGTCTCCTCAATTATCTGTTGTATGTGCAGACAGACCGAAAGCAGGAACAGCTCTGCTCCTAGAGCTGCAGAAACAGTATTTCTGAATGCTCCACTAATGAGTATTGCTGCCCGCGTCTGGATTCGTTCGAATTCGTTGATGGTCTTCTGCCGTTTTGCATACTTAGAACGCCCGCTGGTAGGGCTATACCATGCAGCAACCCCGTAGAGCATTTGCGGGACTACTACGGCCAGATATATAGTCCGCATGTTCAGCAGGGACGTGCCCCATGTGGACGCAGAGATGTTTCGTAGGGCTTCGAGGCTTCCGTTCGCCTTCGCTACCGCCTTGGTGCAGTGGGTAGTAAAGGAGAGAGTCTTATCAAGCCAAATTCCGAGGTATTTAGCGTGTTCTACTGGTCGAATGACGTGGCCTGTTGCGTGATCCTTTATTGGCAGCTGGTCATGCCCCGGGGGTTCAACGGGACCCTCCCTGGCGCTCCCGTTCTTCCAGTTAGCGTTAGTAAGGTCCTTTCCTTTCCATGGTTCCGTGTAATCACAGGGGGTGTCCCTTTCGGCCCCGGGATCGGGGTCCAGCGGATTCCGGAAGTGTATCAGTTCGAACTTATCTAGCGCGAACCTAGACGAATGCTGCTAGGACCATACAGCAGCCTTATCGAGTGCCCACTCCAGTAGACGCTGATTAGCTGCGTAGGACCCGGAAAGAGCGATCGTACAGGCATCGTCAATCTAGCCGAATGTCAGGGTTCTGCCCGAGAGCGGTAGCTGAATGCGCATGCTATCAACGGTATTAATTCCTAGTGCCCGAATAAGGGGCGTATTGAAGAGAAGGAAAAGGATCGGGGAGATAGGGGACCCCTGAGAGATCCCCGTAGGAGTAGAAATGATACCGCTCAGGTAGCCAGGTAGTTGGAGCCGGGTCTGTCGGTCTGAAAGGAATGACTCTAGCTACCCGGCGAAGTGCCCTAGCCGTGCCATCTTCAGGTTGTGTAATAGCCGGGTATGAGAGACGTTATCGAAGGCCCTTACTACGTCTAACAGGAGCATACTTACCTTCTGGCCTCGGCCCCAGTCATCAAAGATAGCATCTATCAGTAGTTGAATTAGATGGTCGACGGAGATACCCTTGCGTCCCCCTAGGTGCCCTCGTAGCAGTAAGCTATGTTCCTCCAATGCGTAGGCTATGCGGGTAGCGATAGCTGCCTCTAGAATCTTACCGAGTGTGTTCAAGAGGGCAATAGGCCGGTAAGATTTAGTAACTCGATAATCCCGTGGCGCGGCCTTACGGAAGACAACCGTTATAGATTGCTGAAAATATCCGGGGTTATGCCCGAGCCGGATACAGGCGTTAAAGACGCTCGTAAGCGCCTTCACGAAGGAGGGAACCTCACCTAACCAGTGCCAGACCTTATTAGGGATGCCGTCGGGTCCGGGGGCCTTGTCAGGAGGCGCCTTTCGGATGCAGCGCAGTACCTCGTGTTCAGCGAGATCCGGGAAGCCAAGTTGCCGAGGTAGGGAGGTCGTAGGGATATCGGAAAGGTCTGCGGGAGGTAGATGAGGGAAGAAGGCCTTCTGGAATGTTTTAACTTTCTGTTCTGCAGTTTCTGCGAGGCCGTTATCTGGTATTTTCAGTGTTGGGACCAGTCCACCGGAGGCGTCCCGGTTCCTGGCCTATCTGGTCACGCGCCACATGCCTCGGGGGCCTGCCTCGGTGGCCTTTCTGACCTAGGTCCGGTGTCCCTGCCGTAGGGCCCTCGCCAGCACTTTTCCTTTGCGGTTTCTGACTTTCGCATAGCGGTCCCAGGCCAGCCCTATAGTGGGATCGGTAGGGCCTATAGCCATGCAGGTCTCGGTATATGTACGCCTAAATTTACGAATGATCTTGATCATCTCTCGGCATTCCGGGGTGAAAGACGGGTTGGCCCACTTGCTTGGTCGTGCCCACGGAGTAAATATTGCTATTCCTTAATTTACCGTTTCAATAAAGAACTCTATTGCGAGTTCAATATGCTGCTTATTCTCAAGTGGAAAGGCCTTACTGTATAGGTTCAGATCTACAAAAGTCTGTAGATCTTTCACTTTGCACGCCTTCCAGTTGCGGCGCCGCTGCGCCTCCGGAATCTTGGTTTGGATGTCGATAAGGGTCCGTATAGGTAGGTGATTAGAATCTGCGTGAATCTTTTTAGTAACCTTACAGGCAACCAGCCTAGGGGTCAGGTCCTGCGAGCCGAGGACTAGATCAATTGTAGTCTTCGCTCCGGCTTCGTCTCTGGTAGTGGTGCCCGGCTTTAGCCAGAGATCCAGGCACCTTCTATCGCTTAAGTCAAGTAACTGATTAGAAAGGGTATCCCGGGCGGCATTCTCGCCGCCCCAGGCCGGGTGGTGAAGGTTGAAGTCCCCCAGTAAGAGGACGTAATCATTAGTATTGTTAGTAGTGAGGTCATTGACCAAGCCTAAGGTGCCGGTGCCAACCTCGGCAGGTCAATTATATATATTGAAAATGCGAAGGCGTTTGCCATCGGCATCGGTCAGATCAAGCTCTTGAATGTCCCTCGAATGGGGTATATGTTTCTAGGTATTAGGGTCGATTTGTCGCGAAATAAAGAGGCACACGCGTGCCCGCTCGTCCCCTATATCCGTTCGTGTTGGGTATAGAAGCTGGTGTATTGCTTTGGCTGGATGATAGGTTGAATCCTGAAAGGGGTTATCCTATGGTTCTTGTATGAAGATGATATCAGCCTCTAGGACCGCCGGGTCCCGGAGGAACTAGGCCATCACCCTGTCCTTTAATCGATTCACATTGTATTGAAGCACGTGTAGGGGCCTATTCATGGCGACGGTCCCTAGCACGTTTCCTTGATACTGAGCGGGCAAGCGTGTTGTCCTCAGCCAAGACGATCGTGGTCGAATGCCCTGAGGGGGTAGGTGCAGGGATAAGAGATGCCTCCGGCGATTTTAGGAGGGCTATTACTGCGTTATCGCTAGTGATATCGCTAGTCGATATTGATCGTTCTCGGTAGGTTGGCTGCTTGCTTCGGGTCCTCTTCGCTAGAAGGATGTCCCCTGTAGCAGGCGAAATGGCAAAGGGGGCAGCTTCCTGCGTTACCTGGTGTCTAGCGCTTCGCCTCGTTGCCCGCAAAGTGATGCTGCGGGGGCGCCTCTTGCTCAGGGTACAACCCCTGGGGGCAGGGGTCACTGGTGCGGGCGTCTCCGGTTCGCTGATTATATTGATTTGCTGGGCAATCGACGGTTCTGTCTCGGACGGGGTAGGGTCTACGTCTATCTCCGGACTTAGATCTATCAGGGCCTCTTCTTGCTGCACAAGAACAAGCTCCTGCGAGCTGTATAACAGTATAGATCCTTTTTGAAATCTTACTGTAGAGTGATTCCGCTCCGCTGGCCGGCTGATTGACTGGGTCCATCTCTCCCTCTGTCTCCCAGATCCCGCAGCCCGCCCCTCGCTGTTGGGCGGGCCAGAGGTCTCCGTATCGCTACCCACGGAGGGATAATCCCGTAGATAGGGCGGGATGCGGTACAGGGGCTGCCGATATTGAGCTGCAGTTTGCACCCGTTCTTGCTCCGCTACGTACCTCGTACAGATTCTTGGCCAGGCGGCGTGCGTTTCGCCGCATCCAGCGCATTTGCGTCCCTGGCTACTGGGGGCAGACCTCTGTACGCAAGACTGGGTCTCGTGGCCTTCGGCACAGAGGCCGCAGGTTGTTTTATTCGAACAAACGATTCCTATATGTCTATATTGCTGACATTTGAAGTATCGCCGAATCCGCGCGTTTCTATCGTATAGAACAGTCATCCGGCTATCGCTAGCCCAAATAGTCCCTTTCATGATTACCTCGTTTGCATGTCTTGGATCAGAGAATTCGACAACGAGAGCAGAGGATTTCTGGTTCTTGTAATTGGAAGGATAGGTAAGCCAGGCCACGCGCTTGATATCAGGTTTCTGATTCCAAATCTCCCTGTTTTCGTCGAGTAGCTCGCTGGCTACTCGGTCCTGTTCGCCCTGATCGTTCAGGTCCTGGATTGACTTGATCGGGATGCTATGGACTACCACGCCCCATGTAGGGCGTCGCAGGGTGGCCTCGCTTGACATAAGATCCGCCCATTTATCGTAGATCCTGGCAGTCTCGGCTTCCGCGGCAGTACGTAGGGCCAGGCTGAGATCTCCCGAGCGCAGCTGCCTGGCGGAAACGAATCGGGCCCTCGCCAGGGAGAGCGTTAGAATCGTTGCTGCACCTCTTTTCTTTATACTCTCTGCTTTGTCCTTTATCTCTGCCGATAACTTCTTTCGGTAGGTCTTCTGGGCACCAGTATCTCGCAGTTTAACGATTACTTCGCGGTCCTTGCTGAGCTCTGACGGGGTGGCCGGGGCGGTGCTGGAGGAATCGTAAGTGGATAGCGTATGAGCTGGAGGAGACGCATTCCTGACCACGGAAGCCCAAGATTGGTAGCTCTGGTTCCGAATGCTTGACTGGGTGCTGTAAGTATGTTGTTGAACGTTCTGAAGGATCTGCTTGATCGAAGCCAGCTCAGGGCCTAAATGAGCATTCCTATCGAGAATATCCGTTGTTTGGCGTTGCATGAAACTGCAGTAGGTGACTACCTGCTCGAAGAAGTCGATAACAGGCTTTGGTAGCTGTTTTCGGGCCTGCTCGTTGTGCGAAATGAACGATTTCGCGTGGGCGTGAAGGTTCAGTACGCAAGTAAGAAAGTTCTGATTTGATGAGTTTGCCGCCTCGGGAACCCCTGAAAGGGCTGGCCACGGGGTTTTCGCCCCAACCATCTCGAAATCCCCTATAAAAATAGAATCATTCGATAGCGGCTGGAGTTATTGACAAACTAGTCGATTCTGAAGGCCGTAGCCGTCGTGGTGGTTGAGTAATTTCAAAAATTTGGTTCGCGTCGAAGTTGTTGTTTTTGATGGACTTCCCTAATCGCATTGTAGATGTGCTCAAAGTTGCCGTAGCTATGCTGGACGGTAAGATAGAGTATCGACGAGGAAACTACAAAGTCGCCTTTGCCAAGCTACGTGAAGCTGTTTACCACGATGATCACCTGTTGTACAGCGAGCCATGGAGCTGGATGGTTCCCGCACGACACCCTTACGCAGCACTTTTGTTCGAGCAAGGGCATGTGGCCGAGGCCGCTACTGTGTATGCGAAGGATCTTGGTCTGGACGGTTCCCTCGTTCGTGCGCACCAGCACCCTAACAATGTGTGGTCGTTAAGCGGGTATCATGACTGCTTGCTTCGTTTAGGACGGAAGGCAGAGGCAATCATGATCCAGAAACAGCTGAAAACGGTGGCTGCCGTGGCTGATATTCCGGTCAAATCATCGTGTTTCTGCAAAATTGGGGACCCTAAGGAATATTCGAGAGGAATATAAAGTGTGCATGAATTCTAGAAAAAAAAAATTCCATCTCCACTCTGTTTCACACAATTATTTTCCATGGTGTTTTGCCTAAACATTGATGCAGTATTCAAAGTACATGAAGACTAGCTCAGTAACAGAATATCGAGCACACGGGGTCTCAAAAATCCGTTATCTCAAGCAAACTGAGCAATTTCTTTCTGGAATTGTCATTGTACGCTGTGATCAGTCTCACCCAGCTGGGAATTGCTTATAAAAATTATCGGGGCTTTACTAGACCTCGCCACAGCATACCTATGGGCGTGTAAACCGCCCAAACCCACGCGCCCATCAGAATGGAATGGATGCGTGGCCGTTGCCCTCCATGGACATCTATTGACCTGGCGAGGTCTAGACTTCAACCCAATGTGTCACTTTGTGACGAAGATTCTCCAGTCTGACTACAACAGTAAGCGAATCCGAATCTCCGACATGACTAATGCTTTGAAAGGACCAGATCCCGAGATCAAACTCTCGGCCTTTGGTGAGTGGGCACTCTCGGCATTGATATCCGGTTTCTGATCGAGTTATATTTGTTTAGAAGTAAATATAAGTATCGTCTCTCAAACTCAAGCTTCTGAGTCTTCTGTCTTGTTCCAAGCCACGCCTCTCTTCAAAATGCAGCCAATCATCCTCTACTCGCACCAATACGGCCCAAACCCCTGGAAGGTGGCTCTCATCCTCGAGGAACTCAACATCCCGTACAAAACACAGTTTGTCGACTTTTCCGAAGTCAAAAAAGAACCTTACGTCAAACTCAACCCAAATGGCCGCCTCCCTACAATCGATGACCCAAACACCGGCCTCGAAAACTGGGAGTCAGGAGCAATTGTTGAATATCTCATCGAGACATATGACAAAGACTACCGAATCAGCTTCAGCACTTTTCCTGAACAGTAGCAGCTGAAACAATGGCTGTTCTTCCAAGCCTCAGGCCAGGCGCCATACTACGGTCAGGCTTCGTGGTTCAAACGTGCCCACCCAGAGAAAGTCCAAGGCGTTATTGATCGATACGTCAACGAGATTCACAGAGTTACCGGAGTGCTCGAATCAGTGTTGAAAACTCGAGAATGGTTGGTTGGCGACAAGTGTACATACGCTGATTTGTCTTTCATTGCCTGGCAGCGATGGGCCCCTCGCTATGGTGGCGAGGATATCTACAAGAAGTTCCCTGGTGTGGGCGCGTGGATAGAGAGAATGAAGACCAGGCCCTCCGTCCAAAAAGCCCTTGCCGACCAGGATCGTGCTATGGCAGAAGCCGAGAGGAACTGATAATACATGCGCCTTGGTATGCCGTGACAAGCTGGTTTTGGAAGCGAAGGTGGCAGCTGTGAAACCGGCTTCGGGATAGTCGGACACGAAGTGGATGGATGTGAATGGGATTTGGATGCAAGGAAAGTGGAATTGACCTTTCGCAATAGAGGTTGATTTTAATGTATCTAGAATTGCTACTCCGCATTGCTCAATCTGCCCTCTTTCCTCTCGAGTTTCTATCAGCCGAAACAATAGAGTACTGAATTCGTGATACTGCCAAGGAGTTGCATGGAACTGTCCTTCAAAATCTTCCGCAGAATACAAAGCTTTAGACTGCATTATACTGTTGGTCATCCCATTTCTCAAGCATTCATGACTATTACAAGCTACTTCCTTGATACGGACTCCAAGTAATCTCATGGTTTTCAGTTACCTCAGGGAGCTCACTCGGGTACTTATCGAAAGCGCGATTTTTCTGAAAATCGTCCAATCAATTTATTCATTGGGTACTAGCTATGAGGACCGATAATGCATCGGACAACAGCATTTTGACCCCTAGTATCCATAGTATCCAAGAGTCAATTAAATAAGATGCTCGAGCTAGATGAGCAGATTACTAATCTGAATTCCATGTGTCGTGAAAGTGATTCCACTCAGTCTGAATAAAATTCTCTGTCGAATCAAAGAATCTGTAAAAAATGTGGTGGTGTATGCAGTCTGAGAGTCGGCTTCGGGCCCTTGGATCGTGCCAACGATATAAAGACATTGCAAATACACTGGAAAAGGTACATAACGTACATTCTTTGCGCTAATTACTGACTCTGAGTCAAATAAATACCCAAAAAGGGTTCCCTGCTACGAAACCTTGAGGACACTGAGAAAATAAACCGGGTCGCTGATGTAGAATTCTACATCAACAGTGTTCCGCATATTTGCTTACAGCGGTTTTTTTATTATCATCCTGAAACATTCTGCCTATCTGTCAACAAAGACCGCAGTTTTCCTCCAGCGGATGCTTCTTCATCTTCTTGTCTCTTCCCCTTCAACGATCCTCAAACTTTGATACGTATTTTCTTCATTGCCTCTGTTATTTATATCTAACCGCTTTTTGTTGACCGAACTTCCCTCTGACCCCCAAAAAGGCCATCGCCTGCCTCAGAAGAACAGACCCTCCCGCTGTGGCTGCGCGATATTCGACCCTTATCGGGTACATGAAAGTCGTTAAATATCGGATGGATTGCAATTACTCGTCAGTCCCACTGAGAGGTAGAATTACAGGGGAAGGCCCCGCGGGGATAATATCCCCTGTACCGCCCATCTTGCTTGCAAATAGTTTGGTATATCCGAATTTATGCTGGTAGACAACAAAAAGGAAAAGTCAGCCTTTGCGAGCGTGGTGTTTGTAGCTGTAACTATTCAATCAATTGGGATCTTACAGCAAAGAAGTCGGTGGTTGCTTTGAATGCATCCCTTGTCTGGCTCGATTTGTCGTAATATAACGAGCGATACCACAGATCAATAGCAGGGTAGTCAAGGCGGATCATCTTGAGGTTGCATCGGAAGATCGTATAGTAAGCGACATCAAACCGGGACACTGTAGTGTAAAGTCGCAGATCTGTCTCCGTCAGGAAGTCACCAAACAAATACGGCCCATTGGACCGCAATCGGTATTCAATTTGGTCCAACGTGCCGAATACTCTGTTGACACTTTGGTTGTATTCGTCTTGGCTAGATGCCATGCCCACGTTATACACCCCAACGTTGAAGTTGGAGTGGATCATCGCATTCCACTCATCAATCTCCTTTCGAAGATGATTGGGATAGAGACCACCGCCTGGGAGATTAGGCTCCTGTAACTGGGGCGGAAGCAGGTTATCAAAGGCCGTATAAAACATCTGCATGAGTTCGCTGCTCTCGTTGTTCACAGCCGTATGGTTCTTCTTGTCCCATAATAATGGGACGGAAAACCGTCCGGCATAGTCTGGATCTGCCTTCAGGTAGAGATCTTTAATGTATCTGAATCTGTATAAAGGATCACACTCTGCCGTTCCAAATCGACCCGAGAAGAACCATCCGTCTGGGCCTAGCTCAGGGTCAAGAACAACCAACTGTATGAAGGGCTCTAGACCTTTCAGACATCTCACCACCGTTGCTCGGTGTGCAAATGGGCACATGTAGCTGATGTAAAGCACATATCGACCTTTCTCGGCGGGGAATTTCGCATCACTATCAGATGAGATGACATCATGAAAGCCAGTGGTTGTTCTCTACATTTTAATGATTAACCAGTGATACAAACAGCAGGTACTAGTGCCAAAGAAGTGAGATGGACTATTACCATTGTAGTGAGGAAATAATTGACAAAGTGGTATAGTATAATAAGGAAGAGATGTTTTCTGTCTTTTACTCGAGGCGCTCTCTCCTAGCTTTAATAGTTTTGACCACGAGTGCTGATTAATCGGAATGCTCACCATGGGGTTGGCTTGGTTTCACTTTGATTACGGTACAGTACCATTCTCGGATTACCACCCTGCTACAGTATCTCCACTCCCCGTCATGACACCGAGCACGGTGTATGTTTCCGGTAAGGGGAGATGTCTTTTGGCGTCGGACCAAGGCCGAGGATATTTATCATATCTAGTGACTGTTTGTACTTTTCTCTTTTGTTTTCTCTTTTTATGTCTTCCAGTGGTTGGTTGCTCTTGGAACAAAGAGATCTTGGACCTTCTTGGTTGTGAAAATGCCATCGGCGAATCGGTGTTTGGTCGAAGAATGGAGGCAAAATTTTCATGTCACAAAAGCCGGTTGCTTTATCATAACACCTTGGTCCTGGAGGGAAAAAAACGCACACGAAAATCATTTCTTTAATACTATTATGTATTCTAATCGGATCCCGCCTTTTCTGCGGGAAACTCGACCACACTAGAGTTAATGTTTGTGTATATTCCTTATTTAAGGTAACGTTATAGCGTGGACAGCGCGAAGACGACCCGGAACCACCCAGCATTCTCACATATATCCTTAATCTGTTTTATTTATATCCACTATCCGAGTTTGACTATTTATTATCTGCTTAAAAATCGATTGATGCCGGTCTATTTCACTAGGAGACATCTCGTCTCGCCTTCTCTAGATATGGTATTCAACCCTCTGTCTGTTCGATACTAGTGGCACTATTTAATGTTAGTCTGTAATCTTTGGATGGCATTGGATTACCATTCCCGTGTATATATCGACAAGGGAATTCGTTTATTTGCTACCTTTTACAAAACTATGGAAGTGAAGACGAAGCAAACAGGAACGAAATAGTTTAAAAAGAGATCGGCCCGTATTCACCTTATCATCTGCCTAGGGTCACAAATCGAAAGTGCGTGTAGCCATAGAGTGCAGGAAGTGAAAGAACTAGTCAATCTTAATAACAATCTTTCCAAAATGCTTTTGGGCCGCCTATAGTATAGTAACGTTAGAACAGATTTAATAGCCAAGCAGATGCTTTCCAATGGCTTACCAGGTGCTCAAACGCCTCCTTAGCTTGTTCAAGGACGAAAGTTGACTCATCGATAACGGGATGAATATCATTCGCCTCGACGGCCAGGATCAGTTCCTTAAGCATAGCGCGACTACCAACAAAAACACCTCTAACAGTGCAGATATTGGTCAATGCGTCCATGAGTCCAGGTTGAGGTTTGTCACTAGACCCCAAGAAGCCGATAGCAGTAATAATACCGTCCATCTTGATGCATTTCAGACTCTGCTCAAGGGTGCCTAGGCCTCCAACTTCCAAAATATGGTCCACTCCCAGTTGGCCAGGGGTAAGATTGCGAGCGGCCTCACCCCAATTCGGAGTGGTCTTGTAGTTGATGACGTGGTCCGCGCCCAATCGTGTCAGCCTCTCAGCCTTCTCCGCTGAAGATGTTGTAGCAATGACAATCGCGCCAGCTGCTTTTGCAAGCTACCAAATAGACCTAGGTGTTAGCTTTCAACTCTTCAGTATTTGTTAAGGTAACTTAGAGAATCCGGTCTGACGCAAAAATAACTTGAACTGGCCATATAGCATACCTGAAGTCCGAAGATACTGACACCTCCAGTTCCCTGGACCAAAACAATCTGTCCAGGTTTCAGAGGCTTTAGACCGTAAAGCGCATTCCAGCTGGTAAGACCCGCACCCGGTAGGGCGCTACCCTCCATAGCAGTTAGATTCTTTGGGGCTTTCACTAGACCAAGCTCATTGTAAACACCATACTGGCGTAATGCACCATCAATAGTGCCACCCACACCAGTCGATGCTGCATAAGGGTCGATGTCACCAAATTGATGCGCTTGATTGAAGATTATCAAAACCGTATCGCCTTTCTTGAATTCGGTGACCCTAGAGCCAATTTCGATCACCTCACCAGCGCCATCGGAAGCAGGGACGATAGGGTACTTGTGAGGGAAAGGAAAGGTTCCCTACACCCAACAGATTAGGAAATATTCAACTTGGATTTTGAATGAGGTTTCTTGAAGATGATATTACCTTCGCTATGGCAACATCGCGGTAGTTGAGAGCCGCTGCTTGGAACTTTACCAAGACCTCATTTTCACCAACTTGAGGGATTGAAGCCTCGGTGTAACTCATGCCCTTGAGTTCACTGTCGGGTCTGTCGATGGACCATTGCATCATCTTGGATGTGGCCATTATTGTGGAGTTTGTTGTTTGCTACTACCTTCAAATATAATGCTCAAATATTGTCGAACGGTGCAGATGGTATTATCGTTTGGTAAGGGAATGCTAAGTGAAGGGATTCTTCCTTCTTTTAAACCACATCATGCGTCATACACCGGCAGAGACCGCAATACCTACGGTGAATTAGTCAGATTGTTAAGACTGTGCGCTTCGGTCGGGGAATGTTGTATGGTTTTGTAAGCAAAACGCCGGTTTATAGAGGATTTTTTTGTCAGCGCTTCTCCAGGTTCAAGCCCGAATTCGGTGTTTGATATAGTGAAAGTTTGCTCTCTGTCGCCCTATTCGTCGCACAGCATAAAATCCACATAAATGAGCCGTTGCTCGGATTACATCATTGACTTTTGATTTTTGCCGTTGTTAATACCAGGCTCAGTAAGGAGGGAAAAAAGAGATGGAACCAGAAACGCTTAAATTACAAGGAAGGTATACCATACCGTTCATGTATATCTCTTGAAAATATTGTTTTTCTCATAGGTTAATATTAGAGGCTGCTGGATCGTAGCCCCGCTTTGATTGCAATAAAGTTTCGGTGATTGAACCCTACGGGTCCATTTAAAACACCACAGAGATGTTAATGGTATGGATATTGTACTGTACTGCTCTAACTAGAACAAAAAAGCTTTTTGGCCACCAAAGCTCGAAACGGATAGACAAACCGTTCCAGGAATAAGGGGAATCGTGCTTTTTCCTAGAGTAGTCTAGGAATCATATTTAGATGAGACGTCCGCAAGCATACCCCAGGATGACTGAATATATTACCCGCTTCCGTTGCTCACATATATTCGGTAAGGAAAATAGCGCGCAAGTGGGGGCTCATCATCGTAATGATTCGCTCCATTGCGGTCCAGATTTGACTTACCTCTTCCTGAACGGTATATAAAGAGCAAGCGGTGCTCTTAAATACAGTTCAGTTCACGGCATCGTCGATTGTCTAGAACATACATATAGCCCCTAGCCCGCTCATCCGCGTTCGCTCAAATACGACGATAAGTCATCCAGCAATGACGCATCCAGGCAATCAAAAAGCACCTGGATCATCTTGGATCACTAAACATTTCTCAGAACGGTGAGTTGTATATGTCTAGTTGGCTTCCGCGCTATGTTCCTGGCGCCTACTTTCCAGAGACATGAAAGTTGACGACTTTTAGCGCATTGCAGGACCATGGCTTGGCATGGATTGCCCTCTGGGACACACAAAACAACGAACTCTGGGACCGGGGAAAGCCTTCGCCAGCGTTGACTGATCTCATCGAGCAACGAGAGGATTTATTCCAACCTCTGGCGACGGATGGCCGGCGTAAGAAAGTACTTGTTCCGGTATGGCTTCTGTATCGATGAGACCGTGTTATAGATTCATTTGGCCTGCCTTGGGTTACTGATGTTCATTGTTCTATGAAGGGATGCGGACAAGGTTACGATGTGGTCATGTTTGTGACGGTCTACAAAGGAGCCTGGTAAAAGACTAGTTTGTTTATGACTCGTAGTCAAGGAATTTTCCCATGGAG